CACTTCCGGAGCTTACTACAAAGTCTCAAGGTGACCATCTAAAGTCTTGGAGTATTGATCATTGAATGATTGATATTTTTTTTCTTCTATAAGAAAGAAGAAAGAATTGATATTCGGGATTTAGGTAGTGTTAGGAATCTAACTTATATAAGTCAGTTGATAGATTTAACTAAAAGAATGGGTTGGTTAGAGTATCCAAGATGGGAGATGAGTTTGTTAGCCAAGCCAGCCATGGGAGGAGTTTGATATGGGCAGGAGGTTAAAAATAGGAAGGAAGAAGAGGTGGAGAAGGAATTAGATAGACTTTGGAATTAGTTTATGAGAGAGAGTCCTCGGGAAAAAAAAATATATTAACCATTCTTCTCCATTATAGAGTTCGTTAATCTCATTTGATATGCCTGGTATCATTTGAATGGTTATTTCGCTCTTACCATCTGGCTCAATCCCACGTCCTTCCATAATTAAATGGCTGTGGGGTATGTATAGAATGATTGTGGGGTTGGAGTTCAGAGCTTTCTGGGTTAATGTGGTTGAAATTTCTCTTTTTTCTGAACTCTACTCCTCTTCCCTCCCTTCAAATGTTAATTTTGAATTTCCATTCTTGGAGTTACAGATGTCCATTTTCTTGAACTTGTATTATTTCTCAGCACATTCGACGAAATGCTAGTTGTTTGTAGGAATCCATTAATAAGGATGTTCGCCAATGCCTTAAATTACTTGCCATAAGTTCTAGTCTTATTTTCTTAGACAGCTATTTACAAACTGCAACCACCATTTGTTTGGGACTTCGGAATGGATAGCCACATTTCTTGATGTGTAAATATATATATATACCTACAGGAATAGTTGGGTGTATATCTCCAGAAACATGGGCTGCGATGGACGTATTTTTGGCATCAATTTCATCTGAAGATTATGAACCAATGGCATCTGCCCTCATCCAAATGGGTGCCACGAATAATGACGTCAATGCTGTGGCCTTTGCCAGAGATCTTGGCTCCTTTTGGAATATGCTTTTATTTGATTCATTCAAATTAACTAAAAAAAACATGTTAGTTTTCTAGAAGGTCATTAAAGTGAGGTAACATCTCTTCTTTTTTCATAAGAATATTCTCCATTTTTTGTCATAGTATATGAACAGAATTTAACAAAAGTATCCTAAATCAATTTGTTCTCATTGTATCAACGCAGGATTTGGATACTGAAATAGCGATAGGAAGGAAAGATTCAACTGCTGTTGCTGCAAATATACTCGTAGACGAGAGGCAAATGAACAAACTTTTGTGTTCGTAGCCGACAAAGTTCATAAACTTCAGGGTACACAGTACAGGTATGCTTTTGCATAGAACATCAGTCCTTAGTCTATATAATCAGAAAGTTTGCGTTTTAGAACCATAAGTATTGAATACTTCTGAATAATGATCACTAGTAAAATGGTCCTTCCTTGCAACTTGAGTTTTGTATTTTTCATTGAAGTCCTAAAATGAAGTAAGACTGAGAGCCTAGGAAAGAAGAATACATTCATGAACTTCTTGAACCGTACACATTAAGACAAGTTGCTAATTTGGACCACATTTCTCTCCTGTTGCTTTCAAAAACCTATCAAATCTTAAGTACCTTACACAAATTTCAAGGCATCTAGTGCCACAACCCTCATAAAAGTAAGAACATATATATTAAAAGATTTAGAATTTGTCTATCAACATCATGAGCAATATATTTCACTACACCAAAGAATATTTTTACCTGATTTGGCCACCACGTCCGTTCCACTGATTCTCCGACTTCCACGTCAAACGGTGGCCAGTGTCGCCGCCTCTCTCCCCGCAACATTCTCTATATTTCAAACTTCTCTCCAGAATCCCTCCCCATAACATTAATAAAGCCCATCACTTTATCAACACTCCACCAACACCAACGATGCAAGTCTCACCCTTCTTCCACCGCCCATCCGCCGTCGTCTTCCCCAAATTCAGGCCAGTTTCAACGGTTTCCCCACCATGGCTCCGCCGTCAGGCTGCGGCACCGAGATGTGTTAGTCAGGGTGGCTGGGGGAGCTCTGTGGCGGAGCTGGAGAGAGAATTGTCGGTGGAGGGAGAAGAGTGGCTGAAACTAGGGAGGCTAGAGGAGAAATGCGGCAGTGGAGGAAAAGGAATGGTGGAGTTGCTTGAATCTTTGGAAAGAGAAGCCATTATGGGGGAAGATGAAGGTCGAGACCCTACTGATTACCATAGGAGGGCTAAGATTTTCAGTACCAGTTCTAGAGTTTTTCAAGCTCTTAAGCAACATTCTGATGATGAATCTGAAGAGAGAGAGAGAGAGAGGAAGAAGAAAGATGAACATGTTCATATGAGATCTTATTCGGAGTTACCAAACTTATTTGACATCACATCAGAGTTCCTTCTTTACAGTTCTTTGAAACACTTCTTTTTCCTATTCATCTCCTCCCAAACCTTCTTCTTCAACCAGCCAAATGGCTGCAAGCTTTTCAGTTTCAAACAGAGAAGAAAAGTATTTATAATCCTTCCCTAGTACCATTAGAGAACAGACAGAAGCAGGAGGTTCCGGAGCTTTGGGCTGAGGAACTTCAACAATCCCTTTTCACCTGTTATCATTTCTTGTATGTTTCTCTATCTGTTAGCTCAACACGAACCATACTTGTACCAAATTTAGTGACACACATCTTTGTCTGTTCTCATCACTTTTCAGCTCCCTATGTTTCTTAAGTGTCATAAAACAGAGAGACAGAAGAAAGTCTTCCGATGTGGAAGCATGAAAGTTCATTCAATAAAGAACAAGTTCCAAACGGTATATTACACAGAAGACAGAATAAGTAGGGTGGAGGAAAGGTAATTTGATCTGCTCATTTTATGGTTCCCCTAATACAAACATGAAAAGTTCAAACTGAATTTGGTGAATTTGGAAGATTAAGGCTGTTACTCCTTGTTTTAGCGGGTGTAAGATCCTACATCAGTTGGAGAGGTGAACAAATCATTCCTTATAAGAGTGTGGAAACCTCTCAAACCATGAAGCTGATGGCGGATACGTTACGGGCTAAAGCAGACAATATCTGCTAGCGATAGGTTTAGACTGTTACAAATGGTATTAGAGTCAGACACCGAGTGGTGTGTTAACGAGGATGCTAGCCTCCAAAGAGATGGATTGTAAGATCTCACATCGGATAGAGAGAGAATGAAGCATTCTTTATAAAGTCGTGGAACTTCTTGAACTCCATGATTTGGATCCTTGCAATCTGATCTGATCTAGGAAGGTGGAATTTATTCTCTACCCAAGATGGAAACTTTGATCATTTACCCAAATGCAGGTCCTATAAGGGGATTGGTAATACACTTGTAGTATGTCCATGATGGATGGCTTTCCTCTCCTTCTTCCTGCCTTAGTCCCTTTGGTTGCTCATCACTTTCACTGAATCCAACAACCCTTTGGACACATTCTCGACATCCACATGTGCTCCCATTAATTTCTTCAGCTGCAAGAATGGCAACCTTAGCTTACTAACCTAATCCTTCAGGGCTGCAAAAGGGGATAGCAACTCATTTCACATGTTCATTCCTTGATTAAATCTTTTCATTTTTTAAAAATTGATAACCAATTTATCGAAGGATCTTGACTACGAATTAGTCTATAAATATTGTGCATTTTTTCTTCCAAATAAGTTTGATCTGCTTCATAAAATAATATTTGTTGAAATGTTGCATTCATAAAAGGATAATTTGATCTATTCTCGAACTTTAATTTTTTTATAAATAAAATTAAATTTAACTAAATACAAAATTAGGGTCCTAAAAAATTATATTTCAAGTAAACCCTAAAATTAAATTATAATATAAATAATAATACAACCAACAAATGGGAGACTTGTGGTTTGAGGAAATATTGGTGGCAGCCTCTTCCACTATCCCAAGCAATTACTGCCTCCCTACTGCGCTTACGTGTATACGATTACGTCAGCATGCTTACGTCAAATTAGCCTACAGTTTTCCTTCCACATAACCCCGTCACTCCATTATTTATTCTCTTATTTTCCTTTTCTTTTAATAACTATTCCTCCTTTTTTTTTTCTTTTTTTTTTTTGTCTTTTAAAATTATAAATTTAATCAACTTTTTTTTAAGTAAATATTATAACTTAAAAAATGTTTAATATATTTTCCATCAGAAACTTTCGCACTAACTGTTATTATAAAAAAAGAAAATTACATAGTTATATATTTCTAACAAAATTATATTGTTTTCTTATGATGAGCTAACTTTTTGTAAAATTAAGGATTTTATAAAAGAAGACCGATCCCGTTACATGCCATGTGGGTTTAGGAACCATATGAAAAGTGAAAAGTAGCATGGAAGAATATGAAAATACTCAGTAAGTTCGAAATATCATTAATTGACTTTAATAGTTTTTTTATATCGATCTAGTCATGATAAATCATGTACTATTAGGAGTTGGTTGGCGACCACCTAAATTACAAAGTCAATTCTCGTTAAAAATCATATTGAAGATGTGGAGAGCGACCCCATTTTGAATCAACTACCATAGATATGTAAGTCAATCGTGATAAACTTCTCATTACTAGAGGTTAATTAGCTACCCTCCAATAGCTCCAACATTGTAACCTAGTAATATCATAAACATAAAAAGAGCAACCTTTTACTCATCATAATATCTCAAAACATTGTAACCTGAGAATTGACACTCAAAACATTAAACGGGTAACTGTCACCATATTTATTAGGGTAATACATATCATTCATGTTCATGCATGTGGTCTCATCAATTGATATTTTATGTACGTAACACTAACATTTAGGATTCATTTTCATCGGTAAAATCTTAAAGGTCATATTCATACTCGTACTGTCATTTGATCTGAAATTGTCCCGTCAAATCCAAGTATAATAAAATTGAAAGATATGGTTGTTTGAAGCATTACATGTATTAAAATAAAATTCTAAAAAAATATAATTAAAAAAAATTATGGAGCGTATTAAGAATATTTGAAAACAAAATATGAGAGACCAAAAATTGTAATTTGAAAAATAATAATTGTACTAATTCTTCGTGTTGTCTTTCTCCCACTTGTGATGCTGATGTTCTTCTTCCCCCACATTAGCGCCGAAGATGGAGTCTACACTATTACTGCTGCCGGTGCCGGAGTTGAACATGGCGTCCACCATGTCCAACACCGGAAACTGATCGCCGACGTCTTTGCTAGATCGGATGGTGGCCGGACCCCCGTACTCCATCGAAAGCCATCCCGCGGAGGGGGGAGGGAACTGGGTCATGTGTAGCCCGGCAACTTCCGGCAGCGGCGATGGCGGTGGTGGAGCGGAGGGGGCGGTGGCGGACATGTGGCACGTGTGGTCACCAAGGTAGGCGACTTCGAACGTGTGGGGATCGTGATCGAGGCGCTGCACGTGCTTTTTGGCTGGGCAGTGGTAGAGCTTCTGGTGGGTGCATCTGAAGTAGCCTCTGCAACATTTTATTTATTTATTTATTTTTGTTAAAATTCCAAACTTAATTCTGTTTTTTTTATTTTATATAAATTTAATTATTGTGAAAATTAAATATTTAATAATAAATTTAATTGTTGAAATTAGTTAGTAAAATGTGAGTGGTTAATCAAATAAAATTAAAATTTGAAAATAAAAAAGGGTTTATTAATAATAGATAAAGACATTTAATAATAAACAAAAAAAAAATTAATATTGAAGAATTATTGACCGAAGAATGAGTCAGAAATTCAACAAAGGTGTCCCACATTTGTTTTCAATTAAATCGGTCAAACCTTCGATTATTTTATAAATCAATTTCCCCTAACAAAATAAAAATATAATTTTTTTTTTGTTTCATTTAATAACAAAAAAAAAATCTTTGTTTTTTTTTTAAAAAAAAAATCGTTTTATAAATTTTAAATTTCCAAAGACTAAATATAAATTTACAACTTGTAATTTTTATTCATAAAGATTAAATTAGCAACTCAATTAGTTAGTTAATTTGAATTATTATTATTTTATATTGATTTAAGTTTTTTTTTTTTTTTTTAATAGTTGGATGGTAAGAGTTTTGGGTCGCCTTAGGTCACCGTTACTAGATATTGTCCACTTTGACTAGTTATCTATAGTCGTCAGTCTCACTATTTAAAAGAAAAAAAAATCTGTCTTTCACCCCTCTTCACGAGAGGTTTCACTCCATTGGAGTCAGCGTTCTCGCTTACAGATAGTCTAGTTTCTAACTCTAACAACATTTGTAAGAGTCTGCTCAGACAACTATAGTTATTCTGATTCCATTTAAATATGTGTATGCTTTTTTTTTTTGAATTATTTGTGTTGTTATGATTTTAATTTGAATAATTAATTAAAATCTTAAGCCGAAGTTAGCAACGTAATTAAATTAGTAACAAAACAAACCTGGGAAACCTGGAGCCAAGAATCTCCTTCTGTCCATACTTCCGCCATGTAAAGCCGTCGTCCGGTGGCAGCTCTGTGTTTCCGATGCGCGGCGCCGCCACTCTCACCGTCCTCTTCGCCATTCCATCTTTTCTGGTTAAACCCATTTCACAAAAAACAATCTCTTTTACTTTTACTTTTTTACTTTTTTACTTTTACTTTCGAATGAATAAAGAATTCATAATTTAACCAATACCGTCTTCGAGCCTTGGTTGACGTGGAAGAATAAGAAGAAGAACCAAAACCCATTGCCGGTAGATTCCCGGAATCGTCGAACGGCGGCGGCCTCATCTGAATCCGCGGCAAGTCCATAGATTGGGAGGTACTGGTCCTGAGGCACTCGTGTTGAGGGCGACTGAGGCGCTCCTTGGCGGCGGAGAAAACGCCCAAAATCTCATCGCAAAAACGAGCGAGGAAATTAATATTATTGCGGAAATTTAAAGGATTGGATTCAAAATCTCTGGCCAAGGAACACCCTCGAAGAATCAAAGAAAGGGCCTCCTCCATGCCCGGATTCACCTCCATACCCCAATAATGGTGAGAAATTGAAGATCGCCAACAAATATATATATATATATATGTATGGTATGGTATGGTATGGTATGGTATGTATGGTATGTATGTATGTATGGTATGGCATGTTGGATGAAAAGGGTACAAAAATGAATGAATAAAGTAAAGGGGTGGTGGGTATTATTGGGAAAAAGGGGGAATTGGTCATGGTCGACTGGGAATTGCAACCAAAATGGGGGGGTTGGGTCTACAGGAAGACTTTGGGCTTCTTCAATTCTTCTTCTTCCATTCAAAAACATTCTTCCTATTGGGGTTTGAAGGGTTTTACAATATTTTGACCAAAGACTTAGTAGAATTATGGGGTTTTTTTTTTTTTTTTTTGTTTCTACGTTCAACTTGCTTTTTTTTCTTTTTCCTACGTGGAAAAATATTTTTGTTATTACGTCAACGTGTAAGAAAGGTAGAAACTATATCTTATGTGGCCATTGTTGTGTGGATATATCTTAAAGAAAGGGAGAAACTATCTAAAGTGGTCAGCTCGACATGGATACGTCTTAACAACTATGGTATTTGATTATGACCTCTATTTGAATTTTTTTAATATTTTGAAAATTAGTTTTTCAAAGGTATTTTTAGAACAAAATATTGACGAGATTTATCTAAAATTAATAGTAGGGGTATTTTAGAACTTTTACCAAACAAAAAAGTTTGTAAGGATATTTTTTAAATTTTGAGCTAAAGTTTTGTGAGGGAAATTGTGTTAGCATTTGCAACTTTTAATTTGATGACTTCTTCTTTTGCTCCTATTGGTTATAGTGTGTGTGAAGGAAGGGTTAAACGATGCCTCAATTGAAACAAGGAATTGGTGTGCTTTTGTGGGGCCTCATGCCCCACTTTTCTTCAACCTTTTCTAAGAGGATATTTATCTTTAAAAGGGCAAATTGGTCCATAAATTAATATTTTATTTCTTATCGTATAAGTTTGGTCTCTCAAGTTTTAATAGTTGTGCCCATTTATCTCCCTTATGTAGGAGTGTTCAAGAAAACGATTGAAAAGATTGAGGAGTTTGGTTCGGTCAACAGTTTTATCCATCGTACTCCCACCGGTATATTTCTTTTTTTAAAAAATAATACATCTCTGGACTGTACCACCATGGTCAAAAACTAGATGACATGCATTTTGATTTTTTAGTCACAAGCCAGATGGTTCATGTTTGATTTTGATCCCAATTTGATTTTTTAGAAGGGTCACAAGCCAAATGATCTTATATTTTTTTTTTTTAAGGAATTTTGACTACAAATTAAATGATTTATGTTTAGAGATGATTTTAAGTTTTGCGATTGCACTAGTATGTATATGCATATCTAAATATCTAAATATCTAAATATCTAATTCTAGGACTGGAGTTATTTGTTGGAAGTTATTCATGCTTATCAAGTTTTATAATTTCCTTTCATAAATTTTAAAACAATGATGGCATACATTTAATAACGATCTTGACCCGTCTATGTTTAAAAAGTGGAGTAGTTATACTTGATGAATAATAAAAAAAAAACATACCAAGAACCCAATTTGGGCCACCCAAAAATTTATGCTAATCCAATCAGGGTACACCTTTAAGTACCTTTTCACGAAATTTTACCGAAACTGCATGTTGTAACATATTAATGGTCCTTAGAGAAATCATAAAAGTGGGTCGCCCGTGAGTCTGCAACAAGGTCACAAAAATATGTAAACCTGATGAACGTCATATTCATGGATCATTAAGTCAATAATGTGAACTTAAATTCAAGAGAATTAGAATGACAGTGAACTTTTGAGTCAATTATGAATCATATTACATGATCACATTTGATCATTAAATGATAGATACCGATGTTGATCCTTCACATAACAATTAAATAAATCAGACAGAATGATGGCAGTTTTTTTATGACTGACTTCACAAGATCAAAATCACTGAATTTGATTAATGAGAACCAAAGATAGTTTCACCTTTGGTCTTCAGTGGCAAGTTTCATAGAACTTATGATCAACGTTCTAGTAAAATGGTTGATGGCATCATGGTTTCATGCCAAATATTTATTGTGATAACAATGCCTTAATATCTCTGAAGCCCCCAGGTATCATCAGACCTCTTCCACCTAAATGAAGTTCACATGAGCATTCAAGCAGTCTGATGAAAGTAATAAACATCCTATCTATCAGTTCAATGAGAGCTAAGGGTTACCTGAGGAAGTCCCATCAATTCAAGAACAGCTTTTTGTGGTGTTAGCTCGTTATCGATAATTCGGGCCACTGCTGTCAAAACTGGCATCTTAACATTATATTTCTGGGCCAACGCAATAACAGCCCCAGCAGTTGATACACCTTCTGCAACCTGTTGCATACGGGGGGGACCTTAACAACACATTAGCATTGAATGAAAACCAAATATTTCCGGACATGCTTAAAGACTACCCAGGTAGTACCTGATTCATTGAGCTCAATATATCATCCAGATTCTCACCAGACCCTAGTCGTACTCCGACAGTGCGATTTCGAGAGAGGTTGACAAAGCATGTGAGCATAATGTCCCCTGTGCCTGAGAGTCCAGTAATTGTCGTTGGCTTCGCACCCATCTTTAATAAAAAAATTGAAGGCAAAAGTTATCAGAATGTCAGGACTGCAATCAGACAATTAGATAAGATAAGAAAAGTAGGCGAGTGTTTGATGTAGTAGATAAGGCTTGAACTATTATTGAATTTAGGAATGCGAAGCCAACATCTTCTGGACCATCCAACGGAAGTTGGAACAGAAACAATAAACGAGCAGAGAACTTTCAGTAACAATCTGATTTGGCAGCAGAGATAAAAGACTCCATTAAAGCTCTTACTCTCAGCTTACATGATAATGGATCCATAAGGTAGCACCATATTGAAGCGCCATTGAGAAAAATACGTAAGAGGCCAATAATCGAGCAGAGAACATTTAGTAACAATCTGAATTGGCAGCAGAGAGAAAAGACTCCATTAAAATTCTTACTCTTAGCCCAAGCCCATCGCTCGCAGATATTGTCCTTTTTGGGTTTTCCCTTCCAGACTTCCCCTCAAGGTTTTTAAAACGCATCTGCTAGGAAAAGTGGTCCCTCAAGGTTTTTCCACACCTTTATAAAGAATATTTCATCCTCCTCCCAACCGATGTGGGATCTCACAGTGGGTCCATACGGTAGCACCATATTGAAATGCGATTCAGAAAAATACGTAAGAGGTCATTAGGTATCGTTCCAGTATCTCTCAATTGTGTTCAGTTTTGAAAAATAGAAACATTTGTTAACTACAACACATTTTCCATTTCTCATTTGAGACTTTTCCTAAAATTATGTACAATTTTATTAAGAAACAACAAAATCTAGTTTTTGGGCTTGTGACGTAAATGAATCACATTCAATCTTCAAAGAAATTAATGCTGAATAAAAGCATACCTTCGTTGCTAGCCAACGGATCTCAGAACAACCTTGTGCTACAAGAGCTGCCATAGAGTTGTTACCAAGATTCATCCCCTCAACAATTCCTGCTGCTATCGCAAGGACATTCTTCAATGCACCTGCAATCTCCACCCCTGTCACATCACTGAGTCATCAGAAGTTACAAGCTAAGTAAATTACTGGCTTACAGAGCTTACAAGTACCTTTTCATTTTGGTATATTTTATTTTCTTAAAATAAAATACTTTGGGAGGGAATTTGTGATCAGACAATGGAGAAATAAACAAAGAATAAGGTAGCAACGGAGAAACTGGATAAATGACTAAATGTGAAGTTAGATGCTTGATAAGATGATAATACTAGTAGGATAAATCAAAGTTTCCTACCAAAAGGTATTTTAAATTACAATTTTCAAGAAAAGTAAGCCTCATTGTTCAGTAATTATATCTACCTCGAAGTGCTTATTCTTAGATAACTAGAAGCTAGTAGTTGCTGAGCTGCATTTGCCAATTTTTTGTCCTTTGATGCAACTACCATTGCTGGAAAATCAAAATAGAGGTTCATAACAATTTTAAAACAATACAATTCAAAAGAGCATTTACTAAGGAAGAAAAGTGCAAAATGTGCCTCAATATCACCTGTCGGCAATTTATTCATTAATTCCGAAGCAAATGAAGGTCCTGAAAGAGCAACAAAGGGTTGTCGAGGATTTCTCAGTGCATGGGGAATAATCTGTGACATCATCCTCAAGGTATTAAGTTCCAACCCTTTGCTTAGAGATATGAATGGCACATGTGGATCAACATGGTCAGCAATGCTCTCAAGAAAGGACGAGCTGAACTGCAATAGTATTTTTTTTTTAAAAAAAAAATCCTTAAATCACGCAAAATTAGTAATTAATATTTCTGACATCTAAAACTGAAGGCCCATATGAAAATTACTTGTGACATCTACAATTAAAAAACCATATGAAAGAAAATTGAATTATTTGCAAGAATCTGATGCACTCAAGTTCCAAATAATTCAGCAACTATTCAAAGGCCTTAAAGAGAGTACAGCAGCCATATTTATAGGCTAAAAAAAAACCCTCACTGAAAATAACTACCTAACCAAAAATAAAGAAGCCCTTTACCACATGATAAAAGCTTTTAACAAGAAAGAAACAACTTAAAGTAAATGAATAGTAATAAAACATATAACTACCCACGGTTAAAGAAAGGGATAAAAGATTATTAAAAATTCCCAAGATCCTATATCTGAGTCTGTAAAGAAAGGACTGCATTATAAGTTTTTCCCCTTTGGAATTCATAATTACGAAGAGCAAACAAATATTAATGCTGAAATTTCAATAGAGTAGTGAAAGACCTGCACAGGTACAGCGTGAAAACAGAAATCAGCACCTAGCAAAGCAGCTTTGGCATCAGTTGTAGCAATAACATTTATCGGTAGCTTGTGCCCTGGGAAGTACTTACTGAAAACAAATGTCCTCAAGTCAAATGCAATCAAGCAAACTGTCATCTGAGACCACACAAACATTTACACAAGCTCTCTCTCTCTCTCACACACACACACAAACACATATACGTATTGTAAGTGAACTTCAGCTAATTACGCATGGATTTAAGCTGAAATAGGTGAAAAAGAAAAGTTCTTTCCAGTATAATTTACCTATTGTAGTGACTATCGTTAATGGACTGGCATACTTGAGGATCACGGAGAAGCATGTTGACTTCCAATTGTGGCTTTCTACCAGCAATATGGGCAGCCATCGCTGTGCCAAAAGATCCGCCTCCAAGCACAGCCACCTGATAGAATTCAGATAATGAACTCTAAATATGAAGGAAACAGAGATTTCGCAAGTGGAATATGCTATAAACAAATATCAGTGAATAAACTGTCTATAGTTCTAATGCTTTAAGTTTGACATTTATCTCCCAAAACATAAGATGTACTTTTTCAAGTTCCGCATAGTCCTGCCTGGACCTTGATGACGAATGGAATGTTTAAGCTTTTGCTGATAATTAACTGGGTTCAAGACACATCGACTAATATACTTATTTTGAAGCCGAATTTCAAGTAATATGGTGTTGATTCGTTTTCTCGGGGTTATCATTTCCCAGACTAATAATAGTGTCATAATTCTCCAGACCTAACAATGCCATACAAGGAGCCTCGTTCATATTATAATTTACAAGAGAGTACAATGAGGTAATTACAGTGAAAAACAAGGGATTTCGGTAACAAATTGAATAAAAAGTAAAGAAAAAACAAGATACTACAACGAACTTCTCTGCGGCATTTTATCAAACAGGTTGAAGTCACATTATCAAATCACGCAAGACTAATCCTCCAAAAGATCAACCCACATCTTCAACAGGCTAAAAAAAGATAAAATTAGGAAAAAGAAGAGGAGCGGATTAAAACCCACCTTGTTCGTGCGCTCAAGAACGTCGGTCTTTGCCTTGAATCGCCAAGACCTGGACCACCGCACCAACTTCTCCCAGGCAAGTCGAACAATCCTACGGCGGTTCGGGGTTTTTTCAGTGACCAAATCTAGAACTACGTCAGTGTCTTCAAGAATCGGAGGCGGCGATTCATCGGCGCAGAACCGGCGATGGGAAGTGGTGGGTTTATCGGGACAACAGAGGCTGAAATTGGTTAATTTGGAAGGCTTTGTGTAGTATAACGAATAATTCTTGGGCGTGAAAAATGCGTTGCGGGAAGAAAGGTCGAGCAATGGCGTCTCCATTGAAACAAAGAGAAGCTTTGGAAGGTTTTGTGAAGCGTTGTTGTAAGAAGCTCGGGAATCACAGACAGAAGAAGATAACAGGTAACGTCGAGAATATCAGATGGAACTCCTTTTTCTTTTCTTTTTTTCCTTTTTTTTTCTATTATTAAATTACCAAATCAGACCATTTTACAAAAAATTAAAAAATAAAAACAATTTATATCCCTAAATTAATTTTGGTAACTACTTAAAAGTTTCAAATCAAAAAATTAATAATCAATATATATTAACCTTTATTTTTCACTATTTACTTTTAAATAAAAAAAAAATCAGTTTACGTTTAAACTTAGACGAACCCTAAAATAAAGTTCGCAACTCGCAACTCATCATAATCCAATTGGATCCAACCCTTTCTCACTTTAAAGATACAAATGACGTTTATAATTTTTTAAAAACATTGACAACCCGAAATATATATAGTTGAATTGGGTTGAGCTATAAATCATTCCGACGTTGGATTTACCCGTGCTTAAAAAAAAAAAAAGACAAAAGACAAAATCTTTCTCCAAATCCTTGGAGAAGATATTCAAGCCCTCCTTATACTCTGATAATTATTATTTTTTTTAATCTATTTTTGAAAACTAAGATTACAAACCCTATTAATAATTTTTAGACATTTCTAAAAATTTATTTAACACAAAATGTTGACGAACTTAATAAATTACTAAATTTAAAATATATATATATATGTTTTAATTTTTTTTATAAACTAAAAATAATAATAGAAAAGATTAGATGGACATACAGATCAAAATTATTGGAATTAAAATCCATTGAACAAAAAAGAAAAAAAAAACACGAGAACTGGATGCAACTAACATCCTAAACCATTTCAAATGTTTCAACTAAAAAAAAAAAAAAAAAATGTTCAGTTCATCATCAGCTGGCACTTGAGCTTCACCACATCAGATTGCTTCAAAGGTTTGAGCATGAACATCTCTGCTCCTTCCTCCAAACACCTAACCAAATTCATTTTTTTTATTAATTTTTTTTAAAATATCATAGTATGGATAAAGATGGATGGATTTAAATTAACTAAATTAACTAACTTGTTGATGCGAGTGGGCACATTCTCTGATGACACCACCACTACAGGAACTTCCTTCATCCTCGAACATCTCTGCAACACAAACAAGATTAATTTTTATTTTTATTTTTTCAATAAATTTAAGAAAGAATTAAAATAAAAATAAAAATGGAACCTTGATTTTCTTGAGGAGTTCATATCCGGACATTCCGGGCATGCAGTAATCCGTGATGATCATGTTCACCTTCGACCTCTGCAATAACGACAAAGATTCCATTAAAACATCTCCAATTTTCTTGGGGAGTTTCCTTCGTTTTCTCACCAACCAAACACAATCTTAACTTACATCACCGCATTCTATGTTGTTGTGTTCATGTTCATGTTCATCCGACAAACCCAGAAACTCCAGAGCACTGAGACCATTTTCTGCTGTTGTCACTGCACAAACAAACAAACAAACAACCAAACAAACAAAAAGATTGCTTTTTTTTTCTTGCCCAGATTCTGAAATCCTGTTTTGAATGAAAAAAATGAAAACTTTTGTATTTTTACCTTTAAAAGAGGAGTTTTTGAGCAATTTCTCAACGAGCTTACGATCAACGAGATTATCATCAACAGCAAGAACATGGGGTTGGTACCCATTTTGAGAAGAAGAGGAACCGGCAGCCTCCATGGAAGGGTTGCAATAGAGAGAGAGAGAGAGAGAGGAAAACGAGGTTGTCAGAGCAAGAAAGAAACGTAAGAGAATCAGAAAGTCACAAGAGAGAGATGAATTGAATTGTGTGAGTTGTTTGTTGGGTATTTATAGGATTAAATGAGTGTAACCCAAACCATAACTAATGCCAAATGTTTGGTGTAGTTATGGAGATTCTTCTTTCCCTTTTCTATGTGATTTTTGTAACCCTCTTAGTGATCTTGGTATCGTTTTAACAGACCCGAATCCCGATATTCAAAACAAGCTCGAGGCAAGTCAAAGGTCAGGAGAACTCGTCATACTATTAGAACTCGGCACTATTGCAAGAGCCCTAATTTCAATAAAAATCCAACGATCAAAGTCCATGAAAAGTCCTCATACCCTAATTTCGATATTCAAAACAGGGTCGAGGCAAGGAAGAGAATTAAAACCCTATAGTTAGAGATTAGGAGAAATACTCGTTATAACAACCAAATCCCACCACTAGTAGATCTTATTCACTTTAGCCCGTTACATATTGTCATCAGTCTCATAGTTTTAAAATGCGTCTACTAAGGCGAGGTTTTCACATTCTTACGAGGAATATTTCATTTCCCTCTTCAACTGATGTGAGATCTTACACTCATGCTGCTAGAACTTGGTACATTATTACCATAACCCTAAAAGCTAAAACCGTAGGGTCAAAGTTTAAGATAAGTCGTCATACGACTAGAACTTGGCACTATTACAAGAACCCTATTCTCGATATTGAATACGAGACCAAGAGAAGGAAGGGAATTAAAACCGTATGGTCGAGATTATAAATTGGAAGACAAGAAAGAACGAGAAAGGCATCCCAAGCATTTAACACGTAGAAACATGGATGTAGAAAGCATGGAGAAGAGGGAGAGGGAGAATCTTTGGAGATCCTTCGTGGGTAAGGGTGGAGATTTGGCTCAATCTCATGACTGTGAAAATGATATCATTATTTGTATGTCTGAAGAGAGGCTCAGAGCTATGTTGATTTTATTGTTTCTGCAAAGCCACCATGGCGAGGCCATCACACAAACGAATATTAATGATTTGGCAGAACCAAACAGTGGTCAAATCTTTTTGACACCTTCCAACCTTAAATATTTCCCCCATTACTTTACCTTCTTTCTCCTTCTCTCTCTCTCTCTTTCTCTCACTTTTTTCAATACATCCACAAATTTATGATTTTATTAGATACTTCTCAATTTTCTATTTAGTGAGTTTATGAAAATTCTTATAAGTGGTTGTATTTGAACAAGTTTTTTTTTTAAGTTTATAAAATCGAAAGTGTTTTTATTGTGAAAATGGGTATAATGTACCAAATTTATGATATCGGAATAATTTAGAGATCAAAGTGTAAACGATACTATAAGCATATTGATATCGTTTTGAAAGTCGAAGATTATCATAAAGTGGGGGATTCACGTTCTCCATTCATTTGGTAATAACATCACATGTAGAAAGGTATCAAATGTGCTGAAAATAGAGGTAACTTTCAAACCCATGTGATAGGTTGGATTTCTAAGATGCCCATGCCCTTCCAATATTTGTTAGTTTTTTTTTTTTTTTCTCTTCTTTTACATTTCAATCTTATTGGCTTATGATCTCAAACTCATTACTAATAGATATTATCTATTTTGGTCTATTATATATAGAAACGCGTTTATGTGGGAGAAGTTTCTAACACTCTTAACATAAATGTTTCATTCTCTTCTCTAATCGATATGGGATCTTGCATGTTCCTAATGATCTACGATCTATTTCGACAGCAAAAGAGTTGGGGATTTCTATTTGACTATTTGTATTAGTTGGTCGTATTATGATTTAGGAAGTATGAGAAAAGATAAATTAGTTGGATTTTTCAAATGAGTAATGGATTTTTCAAATGAGTAAATGATAATTTTAAGGACGATTGGTGAGATTTGATCGAACGGTATGAACCAAATAATGTTGTCATTATCATCTATTGTCTCCCTCGACTTCTCGGCTCCATCTTTCTCGAATATAGGCGAAATAATAAAGGTATCAAAATTTGAATATGTAGACAGTCTATTATTATTATTATTATTATTTAAAAAAAAATTGAAGGAAGTGATTGGGTGAATCTAAAATCCAAAGAAAGGGACATGTTAGTGGATTTTATTTGATTTAAGATACGGAATGATTTTTGGGAGTCTAGAGTTTGGTAAAGTCAAACCTAAACAAAACAGGTTTAGGGTCAAGGGAATCTTGGACAGAGTACCCTATTCCTTTACCCAAACAGTCTTTTCATTTCAGTCAACCCAATACAATCACTATATTATTAATTAATTAAAGTTGTGACCTTGAAATAATTTTGAGTGCTTTTTTTGAACTTCTTATTTTAGCCAAAAGTGATGTATTATTATTGCATTTGGGTCACTTTGTAACTACAAATGTTTGATTTTAAAAAAATGATTTTTTTGAAGTACTAAATTATTAAAAGTCACATTTAGTCAATTGTGTGACCAAACATCACCTTCAGAAAATGTAAAAAACTACTGCCTAATAGAGATTCGACCAACTATTTTCCTGGCTTATAAATATAAACAATTGAAATTAAATTGAGAACCAAATTCTAAATCTGCTACCAAACACGTTAAAAAAAACACAGATTAACTGAAATCGAAATTATATTTATGTGTAATTCGAAGTTAGATAAACAAAATATGGTTGTTGGGAGATTGAGATTCATCTAAAACAAAAATGTGACCCTTTGACATCATACGAACATAATGTCAATTCTAAATATCATAAATTCAAATCAGAAAATGTCATTTTTAAGACCAAAAGAACTACAACGATACATTACCTGAAATTATGAAGGCCCATTTGATTTGATGAACCAGTGCAAAATCTCTTCAAAAGTGACTCTGTTTGGTTCGCCAAGTAGCGCAGTGTTCAGGGATCCTTCTGGCTGTGAAGCTCTCCTCTACCATGGCTATGATGCAATTATTTGATGCTTGCCTTCGGGATCGACGACGTGCATGCTCCTGCAGATGTCATGAACGGTATTCCTTTGTACATCGCCACGCCCTTGTCGTCTGTGAAAAGATGCTGAATCCATCCAAATAACAACCATTTGAGTATAATAGGTGCAAAATGAAAGATGTGAGTAGGCATAGATTGCAGCCGGGAGAGCAGGATAAAAGGTGCGTTTAGTGGATCCACAACATTTAAAAGTGATTATATTAACTACATGTGATATTTAGTTTTCTGCATATTTTGAAGTTTTGTTTATTAATCACTTCCAGGACTTATATATATATATAATTCATCTCTCGAATGTTTTTTCAAAGATAGGTTAAAAACTAATTCAATTTTTAAAGTGCTTATCATTTATTAAAGAACACTTTTGGTCATCTAAAATCCTTCCATAAGTTAAATTGATTATTATTTTCTTTTAAAAAGAAAGTATTTAAAAATCATTTTTTTCAAAAGTTATTCCAAATACACTGGCTGCTGCTTTCATTTCGTTTGCCCAACGCAAGACCTTTGAATCGCCCTTCTTACGTTTAAATGCATGCAATTTAAGAAGGCACAACAATCCACGACCCTTTAGCCAGAGAATAAATGTAAGTGTTCAACCTTGCCTATTTTGTTCAAAACACATCCACTTTATGACCTTGTCATTTAAAACGGTTTCTTTCTTTCTTTCTTTCTTTCTTTTTTTCTTTATTTTGAACCTATTTGGACAGGGAAGGTTAAAAGTGGACGTACCGGTGTTATCTTATCCAGTTGTTTCTTTTTGGGGTTGAGAACATCTTCTGGCTTCCCATCAACCCTAAATCAAATTACGAGATAATCAATACACCACATAACAGCAGAGACCCAATTCAAATAGAGATTAATTATAAAACAACCAAGAAAAACAATCAGATACTCAATGATACGCCGAAGGGAGAATTTACATTTACCAAGGACAAGACCTAATTTCCCCCTTTTGAATAAGAAAAAGATTCTTGAAACATCTTCTAGTGTATAATATATATATACACAGCTACTCTACACAAAAGTTCATAGAAGTGCAAGTCAGGTAATGCAGTTAAATTGAGTTGTCTCTGAAAAACTTACCCCGCAAATGAAATTTGTTCACCAATTTTGGCTCCTTCAGGAGGAAGCAAAGGCTCCACGATGGTGTGATCTTCATTAGACGCACACAACACCTGAGAGAGGGATTTATGAATCCATGTACAAGTGAGCATATCAACACAACTTCCACACAACATATGGAACATCCAAAGTCCACATTAAAAATGTAAGAAGAAATAACTGAAACGAGACCAGAACTAGAGAAATAGTGCTAAGAATTTGGTGTATTCACATATAAAATGAAAGGCAACTTCATATTAATCCATATACGTCACAGTAAAGTACAGGAGCCTAAAAAAGATAAAAATAATCAATTATGGTATGTCCAAAAAAAAAAAAAAACAGACTGCCAAGGAAAGAGAAAATACCAATCCCTGGGACATCACATCTCGTAGCTTTCCGGGTTTTACATTAGTGATAAGAACAACGTGGCGGTTCTGCACAGATTAATACAATAATACATCAAACTTTGAATTCTGTTTGTACAGCGGATCCATTACAAGTTCCTCATGACCAACATGTAAATGTAACTATACCGTCAATTCCTCTGGACTACAGAACTTTGCCAGACCACTGACAACCTGTCGCACATTGGCCTCTCCAACATCTATCTCCTCAACCAGCAAACTGGATCATTAACCATCATCACCACAGTATGATTTATACAAATTTAAGCTCAGAGGAGAATAATGAACTTCAATAGATCAACGCAAATAATGCTATCGCAGAAAGCAGTACATGGAAGGAAGATTGCTGACCATACCTGTCAGCAGATGGATGTTTCCACGCTTTTCGAATAAGCCCAACACGTATATTCAACAAACTAACGCTAACTTCCTTTTCTTTATCCGTTGTTTCTGTTTCAAGTGGTTTCTTCTTTTCAGGTGCAGCTTCTTTTTTGTCCTTCTCTTTTTTCTAACAGTTCCATAAAATTAAAAACAAATATGTAAATGAATGAATTGCAAAAAAGATGATGATGAGAAAAGGCAGGAGTAAAGAATAGTTAGAGGATATCAAGTTATACCACAGAAATTGAACAGGTCACAACAAGTCAATATACATTGAATACTAAAATAGAACCATCAACTATGTGCAAGTAATATATTGGTTCAAAAGAAAACATTCTTCTACCTCACTTCTTTTTTCTAAACAAACTTTTCACTGAATCTATTAAAAGTTAAAATAAAAGAAACCAAAAGATCTATATCAAAATACCCCATATGGCGTCACAATAATCTGATCCAATTAAAATTGATTATAAAGGAGGTATAATTATCAAAAGAATTTGAAAGTGTACACCGATTAGAATAAAACCCTGCTCCTGCTTTTATTGTTAAAGATTCACTGATTCCTCTCTAACCAAAGTTCACAAAGAAAGGATTTCTTTTTCTTAAAACCATGGCTGGGCTATGCAACAACTGTAAAATATTTTCCTTCACTATTCCATCAAAGCACCAATTCTCCCCAAAATTTGAAACAGTGCACAAGTAATGTTCTCTCACAAGATGAGAGAATTCTCTCCAAACTATTCAAAAGATATGAAAAATAGAACAGAATACAGTTTCCCTTCAATAAAGGTCTTTGCAACATTTTTCAATAGTTTATATTACCAAAATATGAGTAGGCAGGCCAATAAAGAAATGTAGGCTTTACCCCCGGATCAGTTTTCTTAGTGTCTGGGTTCAGTTGAGGCTTATCTGAAACCTTGGTGCTTTGCGAAGACTTCTTGGCGTTTGAATCTTCCTCCACATTGTTGGCAACAACTTTTCCCTGCAACTATAATTAATAAGACTTTTAATTTGTTCATGCAACGGAATTTCTCAAAATGCGAGTTATTAACCATCAGTAATTCAAATGCATACTTCTTGGGAACAAACTCCATGAATTTGTATGAAACTTGAAAAAATCAATCTAGCTTTTAGTTTTTTTAGAGAAAAAAATATATTTTATGAAATATCCATCTCCTTAAAAAGCTTTGCTGCTTCAGCTAAGCCAGAAATGGAGGAACCCACAAAAACAGGGCAAAAGCACAAAGAAATTCACAAATACTAGAAACCAACAAGAACTTGCAATTTGAGAGTGAAGTGAAAACAATGTGAAAGCAACTGGCAGTTTGAAGTTAACAACATCAAACAGGTAAAATCAAAGAACAATGACAACACAGTACAGAACCCAAGGATAATCAACTAGAATAGAGAAAAACAATGAATAACGAATATTCAAATTTCAAAGTCAAATTGTAGCTAGGTCACACAAGGGAAGAATACTAGCTGACTTGATCTGGAAATTTATAGTCCATATTATGTGAACCAAACATAATTTTTTGGCATAACTTAGATGTTTCTAATGATAAATGGTATGATAGTGCAAACAATATACTTTTCACTTTGGAGCAAAACTCTAGCAGATGCAAAAGAATTAATTGCGCACTTACTGGAGGATCAAAGTTGCATTTCTCTAGCTGTATCTTTTGAAACAACTCCCCAATATTCTCTTTGTTCTGTTAAAAACACAAAATGATGCAAGTATTAATTAGCTCAAGTCATGGAACTAAACCACAATAATATTGAAGCCAGAATAAAAGTGGATTCAAAGTATAAATAAACGACTAAAAAACCAATATTAATACTCATTTTTGCATGTCTGCGATAAAATCAACAATCAAAACCAGAAATATTCTCAGCATGCAATTGGTAAGCAGTCAAGGCATTAAAGAAGTAGACCCACCTGGATATAATCTATCCATCTTAAAATGTGTGGCAACTTTTCTCTCTCTGCTGTTGAAAGGCCAATCTAGCAGTAATCAATAAGGTCAGATCTCACTGGAATCTCTACTTTGGTCAATCTAAAAGTAATTTTTTGAAATCCTATGTAAAACTAGTCCTCGAAATCCAAGAACCGTATGCAAAAGATCCATCGGCCATTTGAACAAGGATCTAAGCATGAAAACGTGAAATGAAATGTGTATACATAATATGAAGAAATGATGACATTCTTGAAAGAAAAGAATGATCTTAAATATAGACATTTTGTCATAAAATGCAAGAATGCTTACCACAGAAGGGTGTAGTACTGAAAACACAATTACATCAGCTTCAGATGTCTTCAATCCATTACCCAAAAGTACAGACTTTTGAACCAATTCTTCATTTAATTGTTTGAGAACCTCAAGGCATGCCTTAGAATCTACAGGAAAGCTGTCTGCAAATGTAATCCATTTCATCACCTGCAGCAACCATCATAACCGTTATGGTAATGATAAAACAAAAAGTTACACTAAAACATAAATTTTCAATTTTATCAGATGTCCGTTCGGGAAATCTAAAACATAAAAATTTCAAACGGCTGCATATCTGGCCTTCATAATACATGTATTGGCAAGGTTCCTTGGGAAGAAAGATCTTCCCTATGGACGCTACTAAGTGCATGTGGAAGGTTAAAGCTTTCGTTTGGTCCCTTTTCTAGCAGTGAATCTACATTTGATAGAGAGTGCAGAACACAAATTCCCACATATTTTCTTGTTCCCCGCTTAGTGTCTGGTGCAAGTCTGCTTGTGAAGATACATATTAATTTTTATTGGTTGGTCCATTGGTTAAGCACGTTTGGGAGAAAATCCTTAATACCTTCAATTTGAACTTTGGTTGGTCTACCGATATTTGAGATTTTCTATTTCCCTCTTGTCGTCAGGCATCCCTGACCCCAATAAAATAAAAGCTAACACTCTTCAGTTAAACTGTACTTTTCCTAATCTTTGTAAAGTTTGGATTGAGAAAAGAGCATAGCTTCAAGGTTCATAAAGAACTTGGGAGGACTCTTGAGGCACTATTGTTTTCAACTGTTATAATTGATGTCTTCTCTCAAAGGATTCTAGAAACTGATCTGTTTCTTCTATTTTGACCAATTGGAGAGCTTTGCGAAAATCTCCTTTGTGAAATTGGGGTGGATTCTTTTCTTATCTTTTGTACTCTTTTCACTTCCATGAAAATTCGTGCTCCTATAAAAAACTTCTAACAATATGAAATTCGAGTACAGTCAGCATAGTCGTCAAGGTCAAATGCAACAAAGGAAAATCAATGAATGGAACTTCGGAATAATGAAAGAGTGAAAAATATTCAACCTTACCTCATCATTATCATCGATAGAAGCACCATTTCTTGATGTTTTCAAGAGGTTTACTACATAGGTCTTAAAATCCATACTTTCTCCGGTTAATGAACTCTGAAACAAATAGCAATTTAACTTCAGTAACAAAATTCCAATGACAATGCACAACACGGAAAAGAAAGATTGTAAACAAGTGGTACCGAAGCTCGTAATCGTTGGACGGATGAATCATTTCAAAAAACAAATGAGGCAATCAACGGAAACTACATTAACATATTTTACTGCTAAAATTCATGTCTGGAGATGATTCCACGACTTCATCTAACTCCTAAGAGAAACTAGACAAACCATGATCATATCCATAAAATAATACAGTGCATAGAATTATTCCTCGTACACGTAAAGTCAAATCAATTTCACAATATGGAGCAGCCAATACCAATAAATGTCGAGTGAAACAAGAGAGAAGATTGGTCCGTATAAGATCAGAGATTCACGGCGTTCGACAGCAGGTTAAGAGAGAAGAAGCTTACAAAATCTAAGGAGAAGTGTTTGGCCAGCACCGATGCGACCAACTGCTTCCTATCTAACGCAGAACCTCCATTGGCAGCCATTTCAAGCTTTTCAGTGATGAACTGCTGAGAATTCTTTCTACTCGGACAGTCGATCAATCACTGATAGGGTTTTTCAATTTTCAGAAGCTTTGCTAATGGCTCTTCTTTGTTATGGTCACGGACTTCAAAGGCACGGCCCATCAAGCAATTGGCCCAATAACTGCTTTCTGTTCCATGATTTTTTAAAAAAAAAATTTTAATATATATTTCGCTTTAAAAAAAAATCAAATTTTTAAAATTTTGATTTTCAACTGCTTTAAAATTAATTGCCTCTCCCACACAAATATTTTTTATCGCACAATTTTTTTTCGATGCTCTATGCTTAATTCCGCTCCGACTTTCCTATGCATCCTCTTGTGGCATGGTCACATTACTTCTCATTTTTATTAGTGAAGATTATCCGTACAGACCAACACAAATCTTTCCAACGTGTTTTTTGTCATTACTCGCGTGCATCCTAAAAAAATTCCAAAAAATTGTCTAACATAAAATTGCTTCAAGCAAATCACATTTAATTTGGAGTTTCAATTATACATCTGGTTAGTATTGGTATTGGTAGTAATTTTTAATTATTTTAAGTTTTTTTTGTAACTTAAAAAATAATAATTAATTAAAGTTGTGTTAAATAGAAACATTTTTTGAAATTCAAATGGCTACAAATCCTCAATTTACGAGTTTAATGTCCTTTATAAATAACATCAATCTACGTGTACTGAAAAGATGGCTCCTTGGGCCATTTTTGGGATGCATTTAATTCACTTTTAATTTATATTGTTTTAAAATTTTCGAACCTTTCCCTACCAATAATGAATGCCCATAATGGGTAGTGTAAAGTTTATTCAATTTTAATGGTCATTTTCATAAATTTTTATTCATCGAATTATTCATATTTATGGCTCTATTTTTAAATAAAATTCTTAAATTTTTCAAACTTCGCCCCACTTCATTAATTCTCAACAACAAAATTAATTAGATGTTTTTTTTTTCTAATTTTTAAATCTTATAAAAAAATAATTTCATAATACTCACCAACGTATTCTAAGTTTTATTTCATTTCAATTTAGCTTTCACAATTTTCAAATTTTTAATCTATAAATATATATATATAATTGCTCAAGTCCACCGCTACCAAATATTATTCGCTTTAGCCTGTTACATATCGCCATCAACTTAACGATTTTAAAACGTGTATGTTAGAGAGAGATTTTTACGCATTTATAATGAATCTTTTTGTTCCCCTCTCTAACCGAGATGGGATCTCACAGTCTATCTCAGGGAGTCAGTATTTTCATTGGCACACCATCTGATATCTGACTATGATATCATTTGTAATAGCTAAAACTTATTATTGGTAGATATTGTTCATGTTATATAGTTACGTATCGTTGTTAGCATCAACGGAATAAAATGGACATAAACTATACCTAGACCAAAACCGATAAATTACCACAAAGTTGTGTAACGGGGGTCAAAATGGTGTGGGGCTTTGCATTAAATTAAAGAGAGGAGTAATTAATTCCCTCGACCAACCCTCATTACCTAACTTTTACCATTTATTGTTCTCTTCTTCTAAAACATTAATTTTGATATTATGTTAAATTTCAAATTTATGAATATATCGACGAAATTGACGAAATTAACATTGTACATAATTAATTATTTAAATTCTTCCTACTTCTAAATTAGATTATAAATTACTAAAAATACTCAAAAACTTTAAAATTTGTCTTAAAAAAAATAATAAAAATAACATTTTCTTTAAATTTTTAAAAAGTTTAAAAATATCCTTAATATATTTTAAAATACTAAAAAACACCACTACGATTAATTTTAGATGAAAATCGTAAATATTTTGTTTAAAAAAGTTTCTTTAAGAATTTTAAAAATATATTTTTTAATTTTTTTAAGTTAAAAAATATATTTACCGTCAGTACCACGTCTCATAATACTCATGAACTTTTAAAAGCAACATTTAAAAGTTCCTACATAATCTATGAGATGTTAATAGACAATTTTCGTCATATATTGACAACAATAATTTTTTTTATAAAATTAGAGTGTATTAATGTTACTCTTAAAATTTGACGAGTATTTTCTAAATATAAGGTTAACAGTAATTGGTAAATAATATTTTTTTAAATTGAAAGGTATTAATAAACATTTTTAAAGTTGAAGGTGTTTTTGAAATAATATTACAAAATCAATTATATTTTTTTTTATATAAATATTTTTTAAGTTTAAAGGTATTTTATAGGTTAAATTAATGTTTTTTTACTATGCATTATTTTAACTTAATGCTTAATTTTTCTTTTGTCTTAAAAAAATAATCTTTTTTTTTAAACCACATAAATATTACATAAAAAATATAATTTTTTACAAAAGAAAAAAAAAAGTTATTTAATAATTCATAAAAATTATTAAAAAAAATACAGTCTCAGGCTTTCGGTTGAGGACAGGCAGCCCTGTTGAATTAAATTGATGATGGGTCAACTACAGTAAGATAAGCCACGTCAGCATCCAACTAGGATGCCCTGAAAATGCGTAGATCTAACCACGTGCCAGACGGCCTATTTAATTGTCTCGACCTATCTACGTGTTCTCTCTCTCTCTCGCTCTTCCACTTATTAAAACCCCCCAAATTCCCCCTTCTCTCTATAGCAATTACAGAACTCTCTGTTTTTACTGTCAACTTCACATATCCACCGGCGACGGCGGCGGCGGCGGCGATGACGGCTGTTCCGACTACTTCCCTCAACTAACCGCCGGGTTCCTCTTCCCCTTCCTGAAACTGTTTCGGAGCTGTACGAGTTTCTTCTCTCAGTGTTCGTTACCGCATTCTTTTTAGTCTGAAGAATCTTCGCTCTGCAACTCTTTAACGGCTCTCTGCTTTTTCTCTTCGACAATCTTCGTAAACTCCGACCGATATTTCTTTTAATGTGCTCTTGCTGCGCCTTGGATTTGGTTTTTCTTCGTTTCTCTACGTTTTGAAGAGTCCTTTTCGTTTTCCGTTTCTGGCTTCTGAGATTTTTCTTGTATTTCTGTGGTGTATAGCGAACTAGCTTAGTTTCTAGTTAATTTATTCTCAGTTTGCGCCATTTTTGAGTTTTTTTTATCAGAGGAATTTCTCCGAGGTCTCTGTAATTGTGGTGTTTATTTATTTGGTATCAGTATCTTCCATCTATGGCTTTTTTGTGCTGGCTTTGTGTTTGAAGTTAGTGGACTGTGCGAGCATTGTTGAAGATGAAACGGCTGCTTGAGCTCATTGTGTTGTTCGTTTTGGCTCCACTCTGTGCGAGATGTCTAAACCTATCTTTAAACGACGACGTTTTGGGCCTGATAGTGTTTAAAGCTGCTGTTGAAGATCCAAAGCAGAACCTCGCGACCTGGGACGAAGATGACGATAGTCCCTGCAACTGGACTGGTGTTCAATGCAGTCCCAGATCCAAACGGGTTGTCGAGCTCAACCTCGACGGATTCTCTCTCTCGGGTCGGCTCGGTCGAGGGCTTTTCCAGTTGGAGTTTCTGCAGAGATTGTCGTTATCAAAGAACAATCTCAGTGGAAATTTAAGCCCCAATTTTGCTCGAGTGGATAATCTTCAGGTGATTGATTTGAGCGGGAATAATTTGTCTGGAACTGTTCCAGATGATTTTTTCCGTCAATGTGGGTCTTTGAGAGTTGTTTCTTTGGCCAACAACAAATTTGATGGGAAAATTCCTGATAGTTTGAGCTCGTGTGGGAGTCTTATTGCTGTTAACTTGTCCTCGAATCAGTTTTCGGGTCCTTTGCCCTCTGGGGTTTTGTCTCTCAGTGGGCTTCGATCATTGGACTTGTCTGATAATGCTCTGGTGGGTGAAATTCCAAAGGTAATTGAGAATTTATATAACCTGCGGACTCTTAACTTGAGGAAGAATCAATTTTCTTCACAGATTCCTGATGGTATTGGCAGCTGCTTGCTTCTGAGGTCCATTGATCTTAGTGAGAATTCATTCTCTGGGAACCTTCCTCAGACTATGCAGAAACTTGTTCTTTGTAGTGATCTGATTTTGAGCAGGAATTTGTTCGAAGGAAATATTCCAGAGTGGATAGGAGAAATGAAAAGCCTTGAAACTCTGGACTTTTCCGGGAACAATTTCACAGGTCATATTCCAACTACAATGGGGAATCTTCAATATCTAAAAGTATTAAATCTCTCTTCAAATGCCTTTACTGATAGCTTTCCAGAGTCTGCGATGAAATGCCAAAACCTTCTGGCACTAGATATCAGTCATAATTTCATCATGGGTAATCTTCCAGCGATTGGAAGTTTAGCCAAGCTGCAGTTTCTGAACCTGTCCGGGAATTCTTTTGTTGGACCTATTCCAGAAACTATTGGAGATCTTAAAGCTTTGAGCGTTCTCGATTTGAGCAGAAATCGTCTGAATGAAAGCATTCCCAAAGCGATTGGAGGAGCTGTGTCCCTAATGGAACTGAAGCTGGATGAAAATTTTCTAGGGGGTGAACTTCCCTCTTCAATTGGTCACTGTTCTTTCCTTACAACTTTGTGAGTTTTCTATCCTGATTTGCTTGTCCACTTTTGATTGTTTAAATTTCCATATGCATTTTCCAGCATTGCAGTATCTATAAACCATTTCACCTAAAACTTAGGCATTTGCTGGAAATATCTACTTGTTCAAGATGCACCAAAACTGTTGTCTTTTGCTTGGATTGGGTTGTAGTTAATCTTATGACTTTCGTTAGTTCCATTCATTTTGTTCTTAGTTTCTGAAAGGCTGGTTAGAATCTGGAGGTCGCTTAGCTTTGAATATGATTTCGTTTGATACATTTATCTTTGTGAAACTTTGCAGGTTCACATCACACAATAACTTAACTGGCCCGATACCTGCAGAGTTAGCTAAACTCTCTTATCTCCGAAATGTCGACTTATCCTTTAACAACCTCAATGGAACTCTTCCAAAGCAGTTGTCTAATCTTCCAAACCTTCTTTTGTTCAATATTTCTCATAACGACCTCAAGGGTGAGCTGCCTGGTGGTGTATTCTTTAACACCATCTCCCCTTCATCCGTAGCTGGAAATCCATCCCTTTGTGGCTCTGTCGTTAATAAGTCTTGCCCTTCTGTTCTTCCAAAACCTATTGTGCTCGATCCCAACTCCACTTCAGATTCCATTTCCAGCTCACTGCCTCCAAGTACTAATCTCAGAAGAAATAGAAATATCCTCAGCATTTCTGCACTGGTTGCCATTGGCGCCGCTGCTTTCATCATCATAGGCATCATATTGATCACCATCCTCAACAGTCGTGTTCAACCGCCCACGTCTTCTTTGTCTGCAGCTGCACTTGCATTATCCATAGGGGATGATTTCAGTCATTCCTCCAGCCCTGATGCGAATTCGGGAAAGCTTGTGGTGTTGTCAGGAGAGCTTGACTTTAGCGCAGGAGCACATGCCCTGCTGAACAAGGATTGTGAGCTCGGGTGCGGTGGGTTTGGAGCAGTTTACCATACCGTTCTGCGGGATGGACACTCTGTTGCAATCAAGAAGCTCACAGTTTCTAGCCTCGTCAAGTCCCAAGAAGATTTCGAGAGGGAAGTTAGGAAGTTTGGGAATGTCAGGCACCAAAATCTGGTGACACTCGAAGGCTATTATTGGACTCCGTCACTACAGCTTCTTATATACGAATATGTCTCTGGAGGTAGCTTGTATGGACTGCTACATGAAGCATTGGATGACAATGTCCTGCCATGGAATGAGAGGTTCAACATAATTCTCGGCACAGCAAAAGGACTGGCTCACCTGCATCAATCAAACACTATCCACTATAACATAAAATCCAGCAATATTCTTATTGATTGCAATGGTCAACCTAAGGTGGGAGACTATGGTCTAGCAAGATTGCTGCCAATGTTAGACCGTTATGTTTTAAGCAGCAAGATCCAGAGTGCGCTCGGTTACATGGCACCAGAGTTCGCTTGCAGGACAGTGAAAATAACTGAAAAATGCGACATGTACGCCTTTGGTATCTTGATTCTGGAGATAGTTACAGGAAAGAGGCCTGTCGAGTACATGGAAGACGACGTAGCAGTCCTCTGTGACATGGTCAGGGTAGCAGTGGACGAAGGAAGAGCTGAAGAATGCATCGACAGTAAGCTGAGGGGGAATTTCCCAGCCGCAGAGGCCGTTCCCGTATTGAAATTAGGCTTGATCTGCACCTCCCATGTGCCATCAAACCGACCCGAAATGAGAGAAATGGTCAAGATACTGGAGATGATCAAATGCCCATCAGAATTACAAGAGTTGGGATAAACTCAACCAAGGAAACAAGAGTAGATTAACCCGGGATTTGCTTGGATCCAGTAGTTTTTGGCATACTGTACTTTTTTCCTTCTTACTGTAATTTATTTTCCTTGAGAAGTCACAGGATTCAGCCATTTTTACTTGGATTACTTTGATTTACTCTCAGCCTGATTATGATCTGCATTTTTCTATGATAAAAGCTGAGGAGGCAACATCATCAGATTCTCTCAGGACATTTTTAAACTCTCTCTTCTCTGAGGTAACTTTTCTTTTTCAGGTTTTGCTGTTCTTGGCAGCTTTCTGTTGGGAAAAGACAGGCTTTGACTTATCTCCATTGGTCAAAATTGTGGGTTTTGAATCTCAATGGAAAATGAAAAGAAGTACAAAGGAGAAGGTCAGAGGGGCTCCAGAGCCAAGATTCTCAAACCCACTTCAAAACAAAAGAATGAATCCAATCTGGTGAGTGAGATTTTATAATAATTTAAGTTTTTTTAAATGTTTTCAATATTTAAATACCTATGTCTTAATTGTCTCCCAATTTTCTATTAAACTCATTTGTTTCTTCCTTGTTGTTTTCAATTCCCTCCACCTTATTATTCTCTAAGGCTAAAATAGACTTTTTAGTCATTGAAATTCGAACTTTAGTAGCTATTTGATTCACGAGTTTCCAAACCTACTACTTTTTGAACCAACCCGTGGTCAACTCTACTTAGGTACCCTTTAGAAACTCATTAAAACTCAAATATTAGGTAGCAGTGGGCATTTGATTACAATTAATTCAATTATCAACCACATGGCCCTTTGGAATTCTTTAATTAAGAGTGTAAGAGAATATAAAATTTGGCCCTTTGGAATTCTTTAATTAAGAGTGTAAGAGAATATAAAATTCTGATAACAGAGGGGTTGAATTAATAATTTAGCCCCTGATTATTGTGCCTTTTAAAGAATTCTTAAAAGTTTTTTATTATTTTTTATTTACCATAAAGTAAATAAAAGAGAAAATTTAATCAAAATTAGTATAATGACAACTTGGAGCTATTTGGTTATCTCTTCTATGAGAGAATATTTAGAATTTGGAAGCCTATTATTTAAATGCTGACGGATAATGCTGCTTTATTTTTTATTTTAAAAAATGGTACTGTTTTTCTCATCCATTTTTTTTAATTAAAAACTATTTTTTAGTTTTCAAAATCCACTTGAATTTTAATAAATAAATAAATAAATAAGAGAAAATTGATATAATTTGAAGGAAAAATAAAAGAATATCAGAGAAAAGATGGAGAAGGGCGGTGCGGCAATTCGTTCCAATTTCCAAATTTGTTTCCTTTGTTGGAAGGAACACACCCATATTCTGACGGAACCCAGAACCCATCACTCTTTCAGAACCTGACCCTTAACCTTCTCTCTGAGAAATTCTCCAATTCCCAGCTTCCCTTTGTCCCAAATTCCACTCTCTCAAAACCCACCATGCCCCCTTCGCCATAACATCCGATTTCCAATTCCAATCCAACCCCACCTCCTCAAACATGTCCTCCCAACACATCAATGCCCTCAACTCCCACCTCCTCTTCCAACACGAAGCCATCCCCTTCAATTCCTCCACCACGTCGCAGCGCCGCGTCACCGACCCAGCTCCCAAAACCCGCGAGCTCTGCGGTTTCATGGACGACAAGCTCTTCCCTGCAGAACGAGATCGATTCTTTGCCCATCAGGGTGGCGATTTTCGCCAGAGTTTGTTTTGTGATGGCCGGAATTGGAATGGGAATGGGAGTGGGAGGACTGGAAGTGGGAAAGGATCGGATGAAGAAGATGAGGATGATGATGACGACGACGACGAAGATGAAGTCGATGATGACGATGGCGATGTTGAAGGACTTGTTTCTTTGGATGATGTTAATAAGTCCAGAAAAACTGGTAACCCCAATAGCAGCAACAATGAGAGAAGCGATCAGAGTGGTGGGGGCTTGAAGAATGGGACGAACAAATTGGGCAATGGGAAGCCTAAGCAACATTCTTCTTTTGGTAAGGGATTTGTACTTTCAACTTTCATTTCCCGAATAGAAAATGATTCTAGAATGCTCCAATTTGGGAAGTTTTGTTGATTTTTCTCATGGGTTTTAGGTGGAACTTTGTTGGTCAAGGATGGGATGGCTGCCCCTTCAGGGAGTAACACAGGAGAAGCTCAGAGTGAGAATCACCAACAGGGAAGGTTGGGGAATTACCCAAATGCTGTTACAATTGCAGAACATGACAGTGAAACGTATTATTCCCAATATTTGCAAGGCACTGAGGGGTCTGCTTCTGGACACAAGGATTTGGCTATGGAAACTGGATGTGGGTTTGGAAGAAGGGATGTTTTTCTTTTGGGTGAGCCTGGAGAGTCTCTCAGAGCAATTCTCACAGACCCTGTGACGTGAGTTCTTAGTGTTTCCATTATGTTTCATTACTTGTTCTTACTTGTTCTTGCATCAAAATGTGTAGTTTCTGACTTTTTTTTTTCTCATCTCAATTGTTTCTGGTAATATATTTACTTTGATTTATTGTTCTTCATGGAATCAGGGGCTCTCTAATGGATGATGCAATGATATTACCGTGTGGGCATTCCTTCGGTAGCGGTGGAATAGAACATGTTCTTAGACTAGTGAGTTACTGCGAAGATTACTGCTCATATTTACTGAAATTCCTTTTCATTATGTTATCTACCATTCTTTTCAACATATTCAAATGTAGGAGGCACATTGAAACTGTTTGGTGTCTAGTATCGTTACGTTTTGTATTGATTGCGAGCATATTAACGTCAAAACATTGTAAAGTTGGCTTTGGATTTGAAGTTGTTTTACTCATCCTTCGTTTCGATCCATGCTGATTTATTTCCAGAATTTCAGTCTAGTATAGTCTTTGAAATTTGTCAACGCCCTGGTCGAGGTTCTTCTATGCAAAAACTATTTCAAATATGTGCTCTGTGCTATAAAACTGAGTCTACTAACTTGTGTGCAGCAGAAACGCTCGAACTCTCAAGTCCCGTTTGATTTTTGGTTTTTGGCTTTGAATATTGTGCTTGTTTTTTTTTTCCTCATTTCCCTACAATGAGTTTCATCTTTCTTATATGAACATTTGAATTCATAGCCAAATTCCATAAACAAAAACAAGTTTTTGAAAACTACGATTTATGAATGTTCTCTCTGTTGCAAGCGTGTGTGTTACCTGACTTATGCACCTCGATATGCATTGCTATTTGGCTTCTCTGTTGATATGAATCAGTTAAGTACCTTGATGACCTCGGTTTCATAGCGTTTTTGCATTTCTCGTGATGTCTTCCCAGAAATCTTGTTACACGTGTTCTCAGTTGGTTTCTGAAGACTTAATTGCCCAAAACTTATGTGAGTTTTTCTGCACTTATAACTTTTAACATCTCTTTACTGCTATTCCCAAAAATGCTCGATGTTTTTCGAGGTTTAATTGCTCGTGTTTTGTTGTAAGTTCTCCTAGAAGTCAGGACTGTAGGTTGCAAGAATTTCCATTGTTCTAATCTCACATTGTTAGATCCCAAAGTACATTTTGGATTAAAAATAAAAATATAGGAGAAGGTTTTGTATCCCCCAGAACGACGAAGTAATGTATAGATCGATATAGTCTTTAAAGATTATTTACAAAATTATGTGAACGTTAAGTGATCGTCTTTTTCATATCGTGTATTTGTATCTTCAGCTCTTCAAGCTGCAGTCCGAGCATTCCGTCGGGAAGAAGAATTGTTATTTTACCGCTCCCCGAAAAGGAGAAGGGAGAGGTTTGAGCAGGTATTTCCATTGTACCTCAGGACCGTAGTTTCTTAAGCCTGCTAATATGAGATACTAAAATCAAAGGGGGGAGGCCAGGAATAGTGTAACGGCCTAAGCCCACCGCTAGCATATATTGTCCTCTCGGACTTTCCCTCTCGAGTTTTCCCTCAAAGTTTTTAAAATGCGCCTTCTAGGGAGAAGTTTCACGCCCTTATAAAGGGTGCTTCATTCTCCTCCTTACTGACGTGGGATCTCACAATTCTAGTCTTTTCTATCACTCAACCACTATATTCAGTTCACTTGTGGCAAGTTCTATGTAGGACAAGGTTGGCTATAGTGATTTGACTATGGGTACTCGAAGGGGTCGAGGCGTTCAGTTTCCTTTTGCAGTGACAGATCGGGTAATTATCAAGGTGCGCAACAAACCAAACTCTTATTTAGTTCCTATATTATTGCACGTCGAAACTAATATCGCAACTAAAAATGGATCAGGGGAACAAGAGGACACCGCTGCGTTTCGTGGGACGTGAAGCTGTTGTTACAACACAGTGTTTGAATGGATGGTTAGTCATCGTTTCAGTCTTTTGTGGGTTTAAATCTGATCATAGTTTATCTTCTTGTTCAAGAACTTTGATATAATAAAACCTAACATCTGAAAGTTGAAGAGCGAAAAATAAGGACTTAAAAAGTCGAAAAGTTTAAGGAGGAAGACATGAATGTATCTACTCTTTGTTGCAGGTACGTCGTGAAAACACTAGACAATGCAGAGAGTGTAAAGTTGCAATACCGCTCGCTTGCGAAGGTTCCGAACGATAGAGCATCAAAAACGACAGCAAGTAAGATAGCACCTAATTGGGTTTAGCCTTGCAAAATATAAAGATTATAGAAACTTGAGTTCGAGACGCATTAGAAGCCTAGTTTTTCGAGGCTGATTATGTTGTATTTAGAACACACATAGAAGAAGAGAGTGATATTATGTAAATATTGTTGTTGGGTTTGAGGAGAGGTAGAGGATGAGTTTTGAGATAGGATTAGCCTTTTGTGTTCTTAAGTAAAGATCTCACCTAAATTTTGATGTGGTTTGGATGCTTTTTCAATATTCATTTCATTCAGTCGTGAATGTTGATCTTGCTTTATTTGTCTTATAAATTATATTAAAATATTATCTTAAAACATTTTAATGTTACTTTTAAAATCTCATATGTATTTTTTAAACGTGATACTAAAGCTTAAAGGTATTATTGAAATAATATTTTTTATTTTAGACCTGAATTTGTATATTTATTTTTTAAAAGCATTAACACTAATTTATTTGAAATTAACTTATTACAATAAATAAGCTCATAATGCAAACAAGAAGTCCCCAAAAAAAAACAGGAAAAGAAAATGTTAGCAAATTGCAAAGTAAAAAAGATTTGTTTTCCTTTCCTTCTCAGAAACAGGACACATTCTCTGAGAACAGGAAGTTGCAGGTTGAATATATGGAAGCTGCAGCTGCCCCCACAGCTAATGCTCTCTCTTCCCTTGTTCTGCAAAAACAACAACATTTCCGTGAGTGCTCGAGCCCACTTGCACACATCTCAACTATTCTCACGAGAAAACTACATAACCCCGTCAAGAGTTATGCTTATAACATCACGGTCGTCCTTATGCCCTGATTAAAGTGTACTCTATGTGTGAGATCAATCCCACATCGGTTGGAGAGGAAAATGAAACATTCTTTACAAGGGTGTAGAAACCTCTTCATAGCACATGCGTTTTTTAAAACCTTGAAAGGACGCCCAAAAGGAAAAGCCCAATGAAGACAATATTTGCTAGCAGTGGGCTTCGGCTGTTACAAATAGTATCAAAGCTAGATACTAGGCGATGTGCCAGCGAGGAGGCTGAACCCCCAAAGGGGTGTGGATATGAGGCGGTGTGCTAGAAAGGACCCTGGGCCTCGAAGGAGGGTGGATTGGGGGGTCCACATCGATTGGAGAAGGGAACGAGTGTCAGCGAGGACGCTGGGCCTCGAAGGGGGTGGATTTGTGAGATCCCACATCAGTTGAGGAGGAGAACGAAACATTTTTTATAAGGGTGTGAGAACTTCTCCCTAGTAGATACGTTTGAAAAACCTTTGTTTGGTTGAGTTTATGAAATTTCTCGTTAATGATAGAGATATCTAAGCTTTTGAAAGCACAAGGAATAAAGTTGGAGCCTAACCTTGAGTCGTTTTGTGTTTCTCCCGATTGCTGTGAGCCGAAAGCTGCCCCCCTCGACTGAACATGGTTCAGCCCCTGATCAGAGTGCATCTGCATTTCTTTTACTTGGTTCAACCAACTTTCCTGAGTCCAAACCGCATTGATCGGATTTGTTGCCGAGGAAAATTCGTATGAACGAAAGTAACCGAATAGAACAATGTCGAGTAGTATACTTACTAGTTGTTTCTCTTCTTCAGCAAGAGCTTTATCCATCTCATTAAACAGTTTAGCCCATCTTGCTTGATGGAGATCAGCAGTGGACATAATCGAAGTTTTGTCGAGTGAACTCTTCGCAACATAAGGATCGTTCTCTTCATTACACGGAAATTCTTTAGCTATTAGAAACGACAACTCTGTAGAAATTACAGCTCGAACCCTTTTTTTACTACGTCGTAGAGCTGCATAATAACATATGTCGGATTTATTCGTAACAGCCAAATGCAGACTACAAAAGAACAAGAAACTTACCTGAGAGACGTCCTTTAATGTCTTGGTGTATCAGTTCCAACCATTGAGAAGCAACGGTAGCAGCTGAATAACAATCGTGCACGTGTAACGACATAGAGTAATAAGCAATATTTCGAAACGGTTAGAGAGTAACGAGGAATGCTAGAGGAGATACTGACCTTTAAGAGAAAGAGATGAAATACAGGTCATGTTTTCTTCTTCTTCTTCATCATTAGACACTGGACAAGCATTCTCAGACACAGCATGTGACGATGACAGCTCGGGTGCAAGAGTTTCTTTGTCGTTCATAGTGCTCGATTCAGAGGCTCGATCCAACATGTTTTGTCTATAGTCCACACCTTCGGCATCCGTTATAACAGATCTTGTCAAGGAGCATCCACTTTTTTGCCTGCTAGCAGGAACATTGTGTGGAGGGCCATACTTTTGAGAAGAACCAAATACATTCCTCTCAGGATCATTGGTATTGTCAAGATCCCTTTTGGTTCCTGCTTTAGCAGCATGTTTCTTTTCTGCTAGAAGCTTATTTGCCAGGCGTTCGTTTTGTTCGTTTTCTTGTTTCTCAGACCGTACAATTGCCTCGATAATCGAATGGACCTGTTTTCGATTTCTTACATGGTTTATGATCCCGGGATTCAGTTCAGTAAGCAAACCACTTGGAGCAGCAATCTTTGTAAACCGATCGATCTGCTCCTTCTTTGCAAGCTCCAACTTTTTCTCTCTTTTAGCAATCTCCATCTTCTTATTAACGCCATCGTTTTTACTTCTCCTCCCACGTTGCTTCGGTGCCGGTATGCCTCCATGAGAAGCCGAAAGAAATCCATTTTGCTTCATCTCCTTCCAAATTCTTAATGGATCTTTCTCTCCCAATCGACCCGTAGAGCTAGCGCATTCAGAAGAACGCTGTGACTTCAACACATTACGTTTCTTCAAAGGGCGAGCGATTTCGAGGTTTACAGAGCTAGAAACATCTTCTACATTGAGGTCTAAATCAATACCTCTTGGAGCTACACGAGTACCATTATCATTCCTAAGCTCGTGTTGTTTTTCAGAAATGTTAGCCAAATCCATATTATCAGAACCTGAACTTTTAGGAACACAAACTTCAGTATTAATCTCCTCAGCCAATCTCATAGGCACACCAATCGCTCGAGGCCTCTGTTCATCAAACATCTGACATTCATCACTAGCTTCTTTCATTTTCAAACAATTCCCCTGATGAACATTTAATGCTGCCAGACCAGTTTGAGAATAAGATGAACAATCTTGATATGAACAGAAGAGAACAATCCAAAAGGATATGAAAAGCCATTGAAAATGAACACCCAGAAAGTAAATTACAGAACCAGCAATTTCATACCAAAAGTCTAAGAATTAAGCTCCATTCATTGATTTCAAGAGAAACCCAAGATCAAGATTCAGAATTCCTACCTGGAGAACCACACATTGATCCAGAATCTCGCAATTTTATCCTGTTAAGATCAGCCTCACACTGTTCTTCAAAATTACCGCTACTCCTCTTCTCGCCCAAAGTCTATAAGACAAGGGGGAAGCCGATTCAAACAAGTATAAACTAAAGAAAACTGTAAAACCAAAGAACTCACCTTAGTTTTCGATCTGGGTGATGACGGAAGCGGGTCAGAAACGGGTCTGGAATCGCACCGATCATCCATTAGCTTAAAACCCAGTTAAAATCACAGAGAATCGCGTTAAAAAAAAATCAAAGAAATGTCATCGGTTGTTCGAATAACGAAGAAATAGGAGCGAATTTTTCAGGCGAGTTCAAATCTTTGGCGCGCAATCCCAAAGTAGTGTAAAGAAGCATGAAAATGGAAGAGGATTAGAGTTGACGAACCGATTAAAGACGTCGTGGGTTAGGGTTTTTTTAAGCTGCAAATCTACAGAATTTGAAATTTGCAAATTTCTTTTAAGATGAGGACAAAAAGAAAGTAATGGCGATTTGAATTAGAGTGATGAGAAGAGAGCGGGATGGATTTTGAAAATAGTGCACCATCGCCAAAATGGAGGGCTCCAATTATTAACGTGTCTTCAATGGAATTTGTTTCTTACAATGTATATATATAATATTATATATATATATATACACACCATGCAAGGCCCGCCATGGCAGACACAAGGTTAAACAACAAAAGTTCATAATTTCACAAATCAAGCCGATCTTTAAACATTCAACAAATAACATAATTAACAAAATCAAACCTATCTACACGTTAGGAGGTAGAACGATTGCCCTCCGTACAAAGAAAAATAATTCCACGTTGACTAATCAAGTGGACAATATCAAATACACGAGTGTTTATAATCAATTGAACAATACCATACCATTATAAAAATTCATGATTCCAAATATGATATCGGGCAATGTTTTTATCTTAACTTATTATTAAATGAAAAGGGTTTTTTGAAAAAGAAAGGAAATGCTATAATAACAATCTTTTACTTTTTTATCATTTATTTTGAGTTCAACTGTAAGAGAGAGAGAGACATTTGCATATGATTTTGGTAATAAAGAACATATTCCAATTCCAATTTCCATCTGCGCCGCGTTCTTGTGTCTGTTCCATATAAATAAAAAATTCTAACAAACCCAAAAAAGTTCTCTATGCGCCCAAAAACAAAGCACGAGTATGGAGGGACATGACCCACTTTGATTTAGAGGAGGCTCAAAACCTTCAATTCCATGGAAATCCCTGACCCATCCAACCAAATGGCTTCCTCTTCCAATCCCACCGCCCCTATTCGCGGTTCATTCCACCGCCGAGCCCATTCCGAGGTCCATTTCCGGATTCCGAGTGATCTCGATCTCGTCTCGGACCCTTTCGATGGCCCCTCTTCTGGATTTGGAGATCTGGGCTTCGAGGATGATCTATTGTGCACCTTTATGGACATTGAGAAGATCGGATCCAAAATCGACAATGGGTCGTCGTCGAAATCTGAAGGGGCAGACGGCGGCGGTGCTACGGCGGAGAATGTCGATGGGGAGAAAATCTCCCGCCCGAGACACCGTCATAGCAATTCCGCTGATGGGTCTTCCATTATGGAGTCTATTGAGGCTAAGAAGGCCATGGATCCCGATAAACTTGCAGAGTTGTGGACTATTGATCCTAAGCGAGCTAAGAGGTACTGTACCATTCTATTCTAACGTGCCCTTTTGGTTTTAGGCTCTGTAATGGCAATGTGTTTGTGTAATCTGATTCTTACATATGTTGCTTGCTTGTCGCTTGGACTTTTGCTTCATAGCTGGAAGATCGAATTACTGAATGCTGATTTCGTTTGAGTAAATGGGAACTAGTTCAAATTCAGATGGTTGACCTACAAGTGAAAATCACTATTAATTGGGGAGGAACGTACGAACTCGGGATCTTCGGATCTGATACCATGTTAAATACCGATGTATGGAGATCGATTTCGTGATCATTAGTTACGTGTCGGGCGGATTTAGCTATATATGAGATTTAGGAGAGACTCTTGTTAGATTAAAGCTCACTAGGTTTGTGACAACCAAATATTGTAGGGTCACTACCTTATGAATCAAAGAAATGGAGAAGAACGGTAGGGCTTGTTTGGAATAACTTTCTAACGACCTAAAAAAGTGTTCTTAAGCACTTGGAACGTCATTCCAAACGAGCTCATAATATCGTTTATATCTGATGTTTGGTTGGACATTCTAAGCTTGTTTAACTGTCAATGCGGCTGTCTTTATGAGCATTTCCTGTTTCTAGTTCGATAAGATATTTGCAGCTGGTTTTATCGTCTTTTCAAAGATAGGGGCGGTAATAAAACCGAACTTCACTTGCAGGATTTTGGCGAATAGACAGTCTGCTGCTCGGTCGAAAGAGAGGAAAGCTCGCTACATAATGGAGCTTGAGAGAAAAGTTCAAAGCCTTCAAACCGAAGCGACAACTCTTTCTGCGCAGCTCACATTGTACCAGGTTTTAATTCTTTGCCAAGTTCACGTTGAGTTTTGATTTGTTATTATTTCTAAAGGTTTGTGGCTGATGGGGCTGTTTCTGTGAGTATTGGTTCGTCGGCTCTGTAGGATGCTATTTAGTTAGGCCCGAGCGGTTCGATGTTGAGTCTACGTTTTTTTAGCTACCCTGATAAGATCTTTGGGTGATTTGGTGGGTGTGGTTATTTGGGCTATTTGGTTAGAAAGTGATAACCGAACTCGTAGGGCCATCTTTTCAACCGGAGACCTCGATCTAGATTTTCTAGTCGTTATACACTTAGTAATTATTCCTCTCTCAAAATTGTAGACTTTTTTTCGAGGGTTTAGGGGTGAGGGCTTGAGATATTTAGAGTTGCCCTCTGAGGTCTATGGTAAAACGGTGAGATCTCACGTTGGTTGAAGAGGGGAACGAAACATTTCTTATAAGAGTGTGAAAACCTCTCTGTAACAGACGCGTTTTAAAACCTTGAGGAGAAGTCTGGAATGGAAAACCCAAAGAGGACAATATCTACTAGCGGTGGGCTTGGACCGTTACAAAAAGCTCTAGAAAAACACTTGGATTTTCACAATAAATGGAGTCGGAGATTTTTTCTTTTAGGTGTTTGGTTTTCGGTGTGCCAAATAGAGATGTTATAACGAGACGATCGAGAAGTTCCTCCTCATCCACCCTTTGGAGAGGAAGGTTTTTGTGGCAAACGGGGTTGTGTGCATCAATGGCCTTTGGGGCGAGAGGAACCATAGAATCTTTAGAGGAATTTAGAGGAATCTTTCTGAAGTGTGGTCGAGATAACGGTTCTCTTTGTGCGTCGGTGACATGTTTTCTTCATTCTTTTTCTCTTTGAGCGTTGGTGAAAACGATTCATACTTTTTTTTCCTTTGACCATTTCATCTTGTTTTCTTGTTCTTTCTATCAGAGAGATACCACAGGGCTTTCAACCGAAAACACCGAGCTCAAACTTCGCTTACAAACTATGGAACAGCAAGCGCATTTACGTGACGGTATGCATCCACATATACCCCGTCTACGTATTATTAACGACCTAGCCCTCCTCGTTTAGCTTTTAGATGACCATGAATAATATGATATCCACTTGCTCTCATCTGCTTTAAATTCGCCTACTTCGATGCTCCCTTTGCTAAAACTTATTGTTCTTGAGTAGATGTTTGAATTTAAGAGCTATTGATGATACCTATATTTGGTCATGAGTTTGGTATCATGATACTTCCCCTTAGGTAACACCAGAAAGTCTTGGCCTTGGGCCAGCTTTTATTGTGCATTATACTCCTACTTTTCCTTTACCATTGAACGAAAAATAACGTGACGATGTTTTCTAAAATACAGCTCTTAACGAAGCATTGAAAAAGGAAGTCGAGCGCCTTAAGATTGCGACGGGGGAACTAATGACAGCTACAGATTCATATAACTTCGGAATGCTTCAAGTTTCACATCCCCAATCTTGCTTTCAGCCCCAACCGCAACCCGAACGACACAACCCGCAAAGGACTCAAAGACCCCAAGTTCATCCATTCCATTCTAGTTTACCAAACCCGCATCAAGCTATGTTCGTTGCATCCCACCAACCACACGCCTTGACAGAAATGTTTCAGCAGGATCCTATCAGCCGATTGCAGGGTCTCGATATCGGTAGCCAAGGCGCAGAAATATAGCCCGAAACCTCCTCCATATCCATTTGTGAAAGTAGCAGCACATTTTAACCCAATTTTTTCGCCAACCTACGCATCGACCTCCCCGTAACGAAAAAAAGGTGGCTTGTTCATAGATTGACCCTGTTAACAGACAATCTTTTTCCACATTCATATGTCGTTCGTTCGTTCCTTCCTTCCTTCGTCATACTCGACGGGATAGAAAAAATCATTCTTGTGATCTAAAGATAAGCTCTCTTGGTTGAATCTCTGTTTCATACTCCCATTTTACTCTCACTCTTGATCCTCTTTCAAGCAATTCATCATGTTCTTCATTCTTTATTAAGCTCAGCTCCAGTTTTTGTTTACATTGCTCTGTTTTATTGTTATTATTATTATTGCTACCATTATTATTGTCCACGTTTTAAGGATCATGGGGTCCCTCATGGGGCTGCCATTAAAGGGCACATGGTAGGCCACTCATCCAACACCCCTTAAATCTGCTTCAAAGGGAAACCCTCATGTGACTGACATATGTGGCTGCTACTCTTAGGCCCATTTCAATAGTCACTTTCTTCACCGTCAGCTAAACTTGTTCAATTTTTATTTTCGTGTTCAATAAATTGTAATTGTTATGACGTAACAACGTTAACTATATTCGTACAAGTACAAAATGGCAACAGCTGAAGGCGTGAGCTATTTGTCGGTATCTATATTCAAAGTTCGATCAATCGAGCTTTGATTTGCTTTCAAAGCGACTTATAATTAATGAAAAAGCACTTTTTGAGACGATGAAAGGGGCCTTTAAAATGGGTGTGTGCCGAACAGTAATTTGGTCTCTTTTTGTACAATTGACGGCCACACCACACCACACCACACCTCGTTTCTTCTCATCCATTCATTTTCCAACACATCTACGTGCCCTTCTAACACATTTTAACTCATTTTGAACACTCGGTCACGATATTTATGTATTGTAACAGTCCAAGTACACCGCTAACAGATATTGTCTACTTTAGCTCGTTGTGTATCGTCGTCAGTCTTACGATTTTAAAACTCGTCTATTAGAGAGAGATTTCCACACCAAATAATGTTTCGTTCCCTTCTCCAACTGACGTGCAATCTCATAATAACGTCATATCATTATCTTTGAAACTGACAAAACTAAATAAAAAGTATAATAAAAGTTTGATCGAAGAAAAAAAAAAAGCAAAACTTTACAAAGTTTATAAAGAGACAAAATCAAAGATTTTGTTATAAGAAAATTATTCGTGAGACATTTCGAAATAAATAAATTAAATTATTGACTTAAAAAAAGAAAATAAAAAAAAATGAATTAAAGAATCGTAACATTTATTTAAATTTATTATTATTATTTTTTATCACAGCGGTTATTTTATGGTAACCGACACACATATGACCTTTATTTATTTATGATTATTTTTTTAATTTATAAAAAAAATATTAATTTTAATCTTGGTATGAAATGAGTCAGAGTTATCGGTGCATTAATTTAGGTTTGGAAAGGTCAAGTCTTATGGATTACGCAAAGATATTAACAAATTATAATATTCTTTAAATTATATTTTATTGTTATTTCATGGTACAAAATATATTTTTAAATGAATAATTTTTAAGATTTTTTTTATTATTCTATTTTTTCATAATTAAATATTGATTGAGTCACGAAAAAAAGAAGGTACACATTGTTCGTATAAATAATGATTTTTTAATTTTTTTTTAGACATTCTATCATAAATATCACTCTCATTAGATGTAGTCTTGGTTCGTTTATGTACTCTTCCTTTAAAAATTATACTGATATTTATGTACTAACTAACTTTCCGGTATCAAAGTTGTCGATACGCTTCGGGACCCAAATCAATTTCCGTTGTACCAATTACATTTCTTTTTAACCTTTTGCTTTAACAAATTGATTTGGCTCTCAAAGAGCAAACACTGAGTGAATAATAAGAGTGAGGAGGCTTACCTCTTACAATATTACCAAAAGAATCACCAAAATCACTTTAATTACACTAATTTTATTTAATTTTAAATATTTTTTCTATTAACTTATTCCTCTCTTTCTCGATAATCAACTAAAATAATGAGACCATATTTATACTAAAATACATTCAGAAATATATATCTTGACTTTTTTTTTTCGACGAATATATATATATATAATAACGTGACAAATTTAATAAGATGATAATAATGATTGGGTTTAGTTAAATTACTTTTTTTTAATTATTATTTCCATGGATTTTTATGTTTAAATTTGATAAAGGATTTTTAGCCATTTATGTTGACTTTCAAATATGCTTGTTAAAACATAATTTAATTTTTTTTTTTAAATATAAATTTTCTTGACGAGTAAATTTTTGTGGCTATGGTTAATTTAAGCCTAGCTCATTCAAACACTTAATTAGATACTAATTATACGAGACTAATTTCATAGCTCATCAACCTAATACTTATTGCTATTAAAAAAATATGGCAGTTCTATCAACCAAATACTAGTTATTATTGGAAGTGTCGTGATTTTATTAGACTAATTGTATAGTTCATCAACAGACACTAATTATTATCTAAAAGTGTCCGTAGTTTTATCATGCTAATTGAGGGTCGTATTTGCTCTCTCCAATCACCGGCTACAACTAAGGAGAGAGAGAGGTAATGAGTGGGGCCTGAGCTTCATAGCAGAGCTTTGAGAGCCCTATCCCAAACATTTGCATGTGCTCTTACGATCCCCTCGTAAATGGCTTCAACCAAAATTTAAAAATTAAATTTAAAAAAAAAAAAAAAAAAAAGAAACTAATTTTTTGGGTTTGAAATTGTTTCTAAATTTATGTGATTTTTCTCCTCTGTTTCCAATGCAAGCCTCTTTGTTTCTTGAATATCACACACATGGCCTGTTTCCTCTTTTCTCTATAAATCTCCCCTTCTTCCCTTCTTCTCTTCTATACCCACAAACCCTCATGGCTTCCTCTTCCTCTTCTTCACCATTTCCCTCTCTTCTTCTCCTTCCTTTCTTCCTCTTCCACATCTTTTTTCCCTCTGCCTCCGCCGACTACGGCGGCTGGGAGAGCGGCCATGCCACCTTCTACGGCGGCGGAGACGCCTCCGGTACTATGGGTGGAGCATGTGGGTATGGAAACTTGTACAGCCAAGGGTACGGCACCAACACTGTGGCACTAAGCACAGCGCTATTCAACAACGGCCTTAGCTGCGGCGCATGCTACGAAATGACTTGCACAAATGACCCTAAATGGTGCCTACCCGGCACCATCAAGGTCACTGCCACCAACTTCTGCCCCCCCAATTTCGCCCTCCCCAATAACAACGGCGGCTGGTGCAACCCTCCCCTCCAGCACTTCGACATGGCCGAGCCCGCCTTCCTCCAGATCGCTCAGTACCGCGCCGGAATCGTTCCCGTCTCTTTTCGAAGGTAAATTATATTAGATCTCCACGATGGTATGATATTGTTTATTTTATACTGAAATGTTTTTTATGTGGGCCCTGTTGGACAGAGTGTCGTGTGTGAAGAAAGGGGGAGTGAGGTTCACAATTAACGGTCATTCCTACTTCAACCTTGTCCTGATCACGAACGTGGGCGGGGCGGGGGACGTCCACACGGTGTCCATAAAGGGGTCACGAACGGGATGGCAAGCGATGTCACGAAATTGGGGCCAAAACTGGCAGAGCAACAACTATTTGAATGGGCAAGGGCTCTCCTTTCAAGTCACACTCAGCGATGGCAGCACTCTCACAGCCAACAATCTGGTCCCTTCCAATTGGCAGTTTGGCCAAACCTTCGAAGGCCCCCAATTCTAAACATTACAACACACAAACCTTTCCTTTTCAAGTTTTTTTCGAAAAAAAGGAACACCCTTTAAATTTCCTGTTTTTTTTTTTTACCTTTTTTGTTTGAGTGTGTTCGGTGTTTTTTTTTTTTTTTTTTTTTTTTTTTTTTTTTTTTTTTTTTTTTTTTTTTTTTTTTTTTTTTTTTTTTTTTTTTTTTTTTTTTTTTTAAGAAGTCTCCGGTGAGTGTCCGGCGGCGGCGGCGGCGGTGATGGCAGTAGGGATAGAGAAGGGGGTATGCTGTATGAAATTATTGCCTTGTCATGGCACCTCTATTGCTGTGGTGTTATAATCAGGCACCCGCTAGGCTTTTACACTCATATATATATATTTTATATATGATATATAATGATAATGATTATATAAATATTATTTAAAATTTAAAATGCATTTTTAGTTGCTAAATTGTCAATTTCATTTATTTTCATTATTTTTCTATCATTGTCAAAATAACATGGCTTTAAATATTTGTACATTAATGCTATGATCATAAGAGTTTTTTTTTTTCCTTCATATATTTAAAATATTAATTAAAGGCTGCCAAATTAGTTTTGTCGTATTATTTTATACTTTTAAATAATAGTTATTTGAGTCGATAAATCTTTTGAAAAATTTATTTTTATTCGACTATTTTTATTGTTAATAGAAATATCTAAATATTCAAATTTTAAAGTTAGAATGATCGATGTTTAAAATTAAAAGAATTAAAATAGACAAAATTGTTAAAATTGAAAAATACAAGGACTAAAATGATATGTAACCATTTGAAATAATTTCAGAGATTCGGGTTAAAATGAAAATTTTGAAACCATAACAAATTTAAAGTTTTAAGGATAAAAGAACTCGATGCATGAAGTTCATAAATATTTTATACAATTGGGCAAATATTTAATTCTAAAACTTGACGAAGGGGTGTAATGTATAAAACTGAAAATTTTGAGGGGTCATTGTACTAAACCTTAAGTTAAAAGGGTATTTTTGCAAATTTTCTTTTCTCTCTGTTGGTTGTGCTCGGCGGGACTGGCGATTTATATAATGCGTTTGCCGGTTAAAAGCTCCGAACCGTTGCTCAACATTTAACTGCAAAAACCCTAATCGGCTGTTTCTTCTCTTTCTCTCTGCTTCTCAAGACCTAAAGCTTTGAAACAATGGTAAGATCATTCGTCCATTGCTATTTTCTCTGGATATTTTTGTTGTAAATCGTTCTCCATTCATCTTTTTACCACTGGTTCTTCTAGACTTTCAAGCGCAGGAACGGCGGACGTAACAAGCACGGTCGTGGACACGTTAAGTTCATCCGCTGCTCCAACTGCGGCAAGTGCTGCCCCAAGGTTATTCTTGTACTCATCTTTCTCCGCAGTTCTTGCATGAATATATAGATAGTGTTATGGCGGGAGTTAAATCTCTATGGCGCGCAAATGTTTCCGGCGAAATTTGGTCCTCTTGTGTTTAATTAGTTTTTTATTTTCTGCTTGAGTGCAATGCTGGTGTATTTATTGTTTTGTTGATCTATCAATTGCGAGCGAGCCAAAGTACCAAGTGTCCGCCACGTTCAGGGGATCTGATTTTTTATGTACAATGTTAGTATGTCTATGAGTTTTTTATTCTTAGTTTGCGTTTTTTTCTCGATAAGTTAACGAGCTAGATTTGATATTTTGCTACATTTTAAAATGCTTTTCGATGAAACACTTTAGTAGCATTCTTTTTTCCAGAATGTGGGGAAAATTTTTCGTTAAAGTTGCAATTCCTGCAAGTTTTCTTAAACTGAAAATTAGTACTTATGGCTTACCGGTTGAGGCTTGCCTGGAGGCAAGATTCTAACTTCTCGAAACTTATGGCTTCTTTGGACCATAAGAGGTTTGTACCTATCGTATCGGAAGCTTGAGCTTCTCTGAAAGAACACTAAGGCTTAAAGTCTTTACAATTCTTAAAAAGATTAGAAGAATCGTATTATAGTTAGCCCCAATTTTTCAAAAATAATAAAGGTTCGAATATGTATGTAATGCTAATAAATAAGTTGTGGCAATTCTACCACTTAGTATTTGACTATCTAAGCTTCAAACACATTGTAGTTCGGGACAAAGTGACTTTCGAGCGTTCATTGACTATTGAACCACAGCAATTCAATTATACTTTAGCAAAGAGGTGAGAAGATGATTAAATCTAACTTCATGAGTTTTTTGATTGATGAGAATAGGACAAGGCGATTAAGAGATTTCTTGTGAGGAATATTGTTGAGCAGGCTGCTGTGAGGGATGTCCAAGAAGCCTGTGTCTATGATCGTAAGTTATTCTGTCCATTCATACTATCGTTTTGTTTACTTCATATATCAACGATGTCTTTATTCAGTGTCTAATATAGTTTTTTGTTTTCTGTACAGAATACACTCTCCCAAAGCTTTATGCCAAGATGCAATACTGTGTTTCCTGTGCTATTCACTCACATGTTGTGAGAGTTCGATCTCGTACTGACAGAAGGAATCGGCAACCACCACAGCGCTTCCTCAGACGCAGGGTTAGTCTTTGCATAGAATATTTATTAACTTTAATTTATAATGAGTTGATCTTGGCATAAAATATTTATAGCTTTGAGTCATCATGAAGTCATGATGTTCACAGTGCACTTGATGAAGTTTGTTCATCTTTATTTACTCTTATTATTTGATGCGCTCAAACTTTTACGGTGGGCAGCCAAAAGAGTATGTGCGTCATAATGTTATCGTTGCTTCTCTATTATCATTGATGGATATGTGAAACTCTTCATAGGATCCAGCCACAATTTTTAAAAGATTAATTAATATGGAGACTTCGGAGGCTTTTGCATTTGGTACTTTGTGTTTGCATGCTTGTTATCAAATGAATCCGTAAATCTTTATGTTTTGACAACTTGGTCAAATGGTTCCCCTACACTTATTGCAGTTTGACATGTCAAGCTCCTTAATTGGATTATGTATCATCTGTCTGTCTAATACTTTGATTCAGCAGCCATACTTGGAGTGGCCTCTGATTCTTTGTTACCTTATTCTATTTGTGTTTGTTTCAGGATGATCAGCCAAAGCCAGGTCAGCCAGGTCAGCCAGGCCAAGCACCTCGTCCTGTTGGAGCTGGAAATCCTGCTCGTGTGTAAGGAAATCTTTTTATGGCTTTTATAAGCAATTCGTAGGAATTTTGTTATAGTCACTCTATTATAGTTGGGTTTTGTCTCCTGTGGATGAAAGTGAATTTTAGAATCAAATGGAAACTTACCCGACAAATCTGCAACTTAGAAGGAGCTACAAACCACGTTTATTGAGTTAATTTAATTGTTTTTCTTTTCAGTTTATTGTTTAGATTGGCTGTTCTCCAATTTGTTTCTTAATCAGTCATTTTACCATGCTCGAAACCTGACATGTTGCCCTCCCTCCATTAGTGATATCATTTGGAAGGGCGCTAAAGTTAGATTCATTTTCCAAGATTATGGTATCAGACCAGAGAGTGTTGAAACATTGATAAATCAAATTCACCATAACCCATTTGGTTAAATTTTTAGGTTGATTGGTGATTAAGCAGAGTTGATTGGATTAGCGTATGATAAAGCAAACACTACATGTTTGTCCCTATCCACACCATTAGAACGAAGAATATATGCTATATGTGTATATAATAATAATAATAGAAAAGGTAATAAAAAAATAAAATAATTTATCACTAGGATGAATAAATAGGGGAGGGCATTGAGTATTTTTGCAAGGCAATCTACTTGTGAGAGAGTTTTGAAAGCATTGAAACCATGGCTCTTGCTGGAAAGTTAGTGAGTGAAGTAAGAGTAAACATAGCAGCTGAGAAATACTACAAAATCTGGAAACACGAAGTTTCTCAGGTTCCCAAGATTTGTCCAAAATACATCCAAAAAGTTGAAGTTCATGAAGGGGATTGGGACAGCCATGGCCATGGCTCAGTCAAGATCTGGCATTACTCTATCGGTATGTATAAGTATTACCATTTTTGTTTCTGTTTTCATTTGCTTTCATGAATGCCCCCTAGCTCCTAAGTAATTGACCTCCTTTTGTTTATGTGATCTTATCATTTTTGTTTTTGTTTTCATTTGCTTTCATGAATGCCCCCTAGCTCCTAAGTAATTGACCTCTTTCTGTTTATGTGATTTGTTAAGATGGTAAGGCTGGGTTTTTCAAAGAACGAGTGGAATTCGATGATAAGAATATGGCAATGATTTTGATTGGATTGGATGGAGATATGTTCGAGCATTACAAATCCTTCAAAGCAACGTATAAAGTTGTGCCAAAAGGACCAAACCATTGTCTGGCAGTTATGATACTGAAATATGAGAAACTACGTGCTGACTGTCCTTCTCCTTACAAGTATATTGATCTCATGAATGGCCTCACCAAGAGCATTGAATCTTACCTTCAGTAATAATGCTATCTATACGCATAGATTTGAGCTTTGTTTCCCCTCTTTCATTCTAAGCTTATGGGTTATGTAATACTAATTATAATAATAATAGATAAATAATGGTCACTCTCATGTAAAGAGGGATGAACTTTGAGTACTATGTTTGCTTAAATATATAATATGTTATGTTTGGATATGTGTCAAAAGTTTTTATATATTTTCGTGTCCCCTAAAGTTTAAGATACCTAATCGTCCAAACTTTTACACCTTTCCCTTATAACTTTCTTATGTCGGTGTCGATTGATTGATAAATAGTTAGGGTTTTCTTATTCTGCTAGCTCGTCAGGTTGAGAAAATTGTGAAGAATTTCCATTTTATGAGCTTGTATATGAGCTTGTAAGACTTTAATAAAGAATAGGAAATAAGCTATGCTTGTGTAATAAGTGGCATTCTCGGATGACGACTTATGTTTAAGTGATTGGGGAGCAGGATGTATCTTTATCTTAAGATTGAAGTTTCAAACGAGTGAGATTATAATAACTTAACTAGCTGAATGAGTTCAAATTAATGTCTCTAATCACTTTGATGCCTATTAATTTCATGGCTAAAATCGATTTATAACCCCAATTTCAAGAATTATTTATTTGATTCCAACATTTAATCGTAATTCCTGCATTTAAATTCTTTTTATACACTTACGAAAGTAAGGACCCGATGACAAAACTAAATTGATTAAGATATAAAAGTTGCTAAATTTAATGGATATAATTATTAATTTAAAGAGTATAATTTTATTTTTTGCCTCATAATTTTATATAAATTTCTCTTTAATAAAAAAAGCTCAATATATTTTATTAGTCATGTTTTGATCGTGATCGAAATTATTCTTCCTGATCAACTTCTGAGAAGTTGTGTAATATTTATTAGATTCTTTTAGGGAATAATCCTTAAATAACCCAATTTGTTATTACATTTTCAAAAAATTAATAAAAATATCCCCAACCTCATTAAAATATTTAAATTTGAAAAATTCCTATATTATTCTTAAACTTTAAAAAATATATACGATAAGATATTATTATTATTAATTTTGGATGAAAATCATCGATACCTTATTTTAAAAATACACTTAAACTTTCAATAAATAACTTTGGATGATATTCTTAAATTTTAATCATGCTTCAAAAATATCTTTAAATTAATTTTTTTTATTGGTACTCTTCATTTTTTTAAAAAGTTAAAAAATACCCTTATTTTTTATATTATGTTTAAAAAATATCCATAAAATTTTAAAAATAATATTAACACTCTCTTCAAAAAAGTTCTTACATTCAATATATGAACGGGACCACACCTCATAGATTATCTCTTTTTGTAATATTATATTTGAAAGTGATTATTTTTTAAATAGAATATTTAAGGTAAGAGTATTCTTAAATAAAAAGGTAAAATATTTTTGAAATTTTTAAAAAACTTTACGAGTATTTTAGTTTCTAAAAAGATTTAAAGTCAGAATATTTTTTAAACATTTTAAAAGGATTTTTGAAACTTTTGAAAAATCACAAATATATATATTTTTAATTTAAAGATATTTAAAAATGGTAAGAATATTATTGAAACTTTTTAATTTCTTCTAGAGAAAATAGAAAGTTCTAGAAGTATTTTTATTAATTTATATATATACTTTTTCTTTTCTAATTTACATTCCAAATTAATTTTTGTAGAAAACTGTTTTGAGAAAGAAAAGTAATTAAAAGAAATATTTAATTTTTGAAAAATAGGGTAACCCGATTTCAAAGTTTAAAGATATTGTTTTTATTTGTAAGTAAACTTTATTATTATTCCTTTTTTTTTTGTCCGTTTTAAGACATATTTCTATTTCTTAATCTCTCTCTTTTTTTTTTTCTAATAATCTTTTCTTTATTCCATGAACATATTCTCAATTCGTGATCGATCCATGTCGTGTTCGAATCGTTTCGTGCATTTTTCTCTAAAGTCTAAAACTTTATTCTTGTCTCAATGTTTTATAATATATTTTTTTCTCTGTCATAAAACTCTTTAACTCAAAATATATATATTTTTTAATATACGATCGATTTTTTAGTTCACCTAAGTACCATAAATACAATGACAAGAAATTAAAGATCGAGAATTCAAAATCTAACCGAACAGATAAGGAAATTCCCCCCTCGATGTGCTAACTTGACTTCTTGACGGTCTATAGTCAGAGAACATCTATGTTATAACAATAGACAAAACATATATGGTAATCAAAAGAACGAAGTTCATAAAAAAATATATTATAACTTAATTAGAATCTTTAAAAGATGGTAATTAATATCGCACATATTGAATGATGTCGATCCTACGTAGATTAAGATATATATCAATTGTATCAACCTACCGCATAAGGAGACGTGTTAAAAGGAGTAAAATAAATTAATTATATTTATTTTTTCAAACATGTATAATTAAAATTTTAATTCGATTACCATACTAATTATTTATAATTAAAATTTTGTACCATTTTATTAAAATCATATATTTGAGAATAATTATTAATATTGTTTATACTTATTATTTATAATAGGCCTTGAAAATTAATTAAACTGATGTGAAATAATAAAATAAAATTCTTACATGTAATTATGAGAAATAAAAATATATTATTTAAAATTATGATAACATTCTCTATCTTAATTTATTTTATTTTAAATAAATTTAATTAATTAATTCATCGTTTACAAAATTATTATAATTAATAAATCAGTAATAATGTACTTAAATATATAATAATTTATTTTGACAAAAAAAATTATTAAATAAATAAATAAATTGCTTATTTATAAAATTATTAATTTTATGAATGATATTTAAGGTAAAGTTTGATGAGGTTAAAAGTGACATTTAATAGAGGTCGTTAAGGCGGCAGGCAAATAGTGAAATATTATTTTCTTTGCTTTAATTATTAGAAATTAGACAGCCAATAAATAAGTATCCACGTGGATCGAAATGATTTGGTTTGGGATAAATATAATAATTTTATAGTGGCTGATTAACATGCACCGTCATCCTCAATCCTCCAAATCTTTAACAAACTTCATTAAAAACTCCAAAATGTCCCTGTCCTTGTTGCATGCATAATCACGTCATCCATATATCATAATTCCATTCATAACTTTACCTTTTAATTACAAATAAATAAATATGAACGTTAGCTTAATCTAATAGTAACAGCTTTACGATGTGTCAATTGTCTTACGAACTAACACATTGTAATTGTACTCGTTGGACATTCACAGTGATGGAATGATCGAGAGTCCTTTGGTGGAGAAAATAAAGGGTTGTAGGGTGTAACTATTGCTCGTGCTTCGTAACAGGGTGAAGATATGAACAAAGAAGAGGGTTTTACGTAGGTGGTCACTTGACTATTGAACGATGCAAGAAGCTGATGATAATAACTCGAAACTAAATTACAAAAACCCTAAAGTCAACTTTAGCTCTACAAAGATCGGAATTTGAATAGATATTTTGAAAGACGAGGTAGAAAAAAGCAATGATTTGAACCATTCAAAATTCGAGTACATTAGATGATACCCAATGGACGATAGTTTACTTTTTGGTGTGGCCGAAAGAAAAGACATGCATAAGAATGAATCTCATTTGTTTCTTCTTATAAACCCTAATCATCATAACCTTCTCCCTTTCCCCCACCAAAAAGAAAAAGAAAACATTTAGAAAAAAGGAAGGCAAAAGTGGGAAAATGAAAGAAAGGTTGGTTGCGTGGTTTAAATTTGATGGAATTAGAGGACATCGTAACACGGTAAGTTGCTATCATACGAGCTCGTGTCGTCGTTAACCTCACAATTTTAAGCTCATCGCTAGTAGATATTGTTTTTTTAGCCCGTTACGCAGTTTTGAAATGCTTGACCAGTGCCTCACACAGGTGATTGACTTTGATACCATTTGCAACAGCTCAAGCCTATTACTAGCAAATATTATCCGTTTTAGTTCGTTAAGTATTGTCGTCAGTCTCACGATTTTAAAACACGTTTGCTAGGGAGAGGCTTCCATACTCTTATAACGAATGGTTCGTTCCTATCTTCAACAGATGTGAAATCTCACGCTTCTATCTACTAATACTCAAACAAAAAGCATAATCGAACCCAATAAAGTAATAAGACAAAGAGAAGCAAAATGTGGTCAAACTCTATCATTACTTTCACCATTAGTGTTCCTCTGTTTTCTAAAGTCTATGAGTGAAAGAAAGAGGAGAGAGAATGAGATGATAATCGAGAGAATGAAAACTGTGTTCTATAATATTGTATACAGAGACGTTCATTTAACTTACAGGTCTTTTAATGAGACGGGAAATCTCAGTCTTAAAAGAGAATTTTCCGTCCTGAACTAAATGGAGACAGGGACGAGATTACATTCCCTGTCCCGAGCTGCCCTACCTGTTTCACTCTTTTATATAAATATATAATAACTTAGGGTAAACGAACGAACGAACGGACGAAGGTATTTATATAATTAAATTAAGTTTAGAAAGCACAATGAATGGAATGAATGACCCACTTGAAGATCCTAATAAATACACCATCTTCATCCTTGCTCCTCATCATGATCCTCTCTATAAAACCACTTTACCATCCCCCATTTTCATCTCCAAAAGGAACAAAAGCAAACCCACTTCTCTCCTCCTCCATACCCAAAACCTCCAACATGGCTCATCCCAACATCATCAGGATCAGAGCCCTTCTTCTTCTTGCCCTCACCGTCTTCGTCTTCGTCCTCGCTGCTCGAGTTTGCAACGCTGCCTGCCGTCCACCGTGCTATGGCGTGGCTGTCACAAGAGCTCAAGAACATGATGAAGACATGGAAGAGGGAGCTTTGGATGATGAAACAAAGGACAATGATCCTTACCGAATGTACGGTGATGTTCCAAGCCCGGGTGTTGGTCACTGAAAAAGCTTCCATTTTTCAGATCTATATATCTATATATCTATCTATTATATATATATATATATATATATACACACGGTGTTTGGGAGATTTGGAGACTTGGAATAATCTTTGTATTTATTTTTTCTACCTCTCCTTTTTCTTCATTTTTTTGTGGGGTTTTGGTGAAATTATTACCGTTCATGTTTTAGTGTAAATTAATAAATGAATACAGTGGTTTGTTATATATTATTGCTTCCCCATTATGTTTTTTTTTTTTTTTGAAACGGGGAACAAGAGTTAGATCAGTTACTTGAGAAGTTTTAACTCGTCGGTTGACTTGCTGATAATGTTAGAAGACAACCGTCGATATCTGATGGTAAGATACCTACGGTTATTGTATCTTTGAAAGCGAAACAACTTTAAAGTAGCAATTTGAACTACTCTCACTTAGTTTTATATCGGATAAATAGTTATGTCCACTTAGTATGAAAAAGGTTATGTTTTCTCGTAGCTATTTGGAGCCTCATCCATAACAAGTTTCTTATTGTTATCACATATGACCTAAGGCATAGTTTTAAATTAATATGAGCTATTGGGTCGGCTCGTGTTCGTAACATGGTTCTCTAAAATGATACCTACCATCTTTGATGTTGTAAAGTTGAGTATCAGGCCACACGTATGACATACACGTTATTATTAAACTTACATGAATCTTTCAACTTTTTAAGACATGAATACTCACTATTGATATCGCTTTTTTAATAATATATTTTCTGTATATCGACCCAATCTTTCATGTCAAAATCAAATATGCAATGGAGATTATAACATTTGATAAAGATATTAAATATTAATATGATAAAGATATAATTTTTTTTATGTATATAAATATATAATAATAATGACTGTGTCGAATTTTACTCGCTAAAAAAGTTATTTGCAAAAAAGTCATTTTCTAATGGGCCTAATGGGCCATGAGTCCCAATTCATTTTCTGTTCATGGCCCATTGGGATTTTGACCCATTACTAATTTATGGTTTTACTCTACCCTAATTAAATGTTTTTTTTAATGCTTTCTTACTTCAATTAGAATTTATTTATCAACTTAATCAAGGTTTGAACTCAATTATTATGATTTTTTTAAAAATTTTGGTAGGATTTAAATTCATTTTTTCTAAAATTTAGGTCTTTTTAATGTTTTTTTTTTCTTAAGTGGTTTTGATTAATTTTTATTGAATTTATCTTTAATTTTTTTACCCCAAAAAGCCTTCTTGTCTCTGAGCCACATTCACCATTCCCAAAGCTTACAAAATCTAAGCCCAAAAGGGGGGAAAAAAAACTGACATCGCCATCATCAAGCCCATCACCATTGAGGAACAACTCAGAAGCTTTATGTATATCCAAAAAATGGAGGTTCTGATTAAGTGGGTCATCAACATCACCACCAAAAGAAAGATAAAAGCTAGAGAGTTTCAGCAAAGTAAAACTTAAAAAATGGTGGAACACTGAAACGAAGAAGGGCATTGAAACAAGCATTTGATGTAATAAAGGGCATGTTCTGCACGATCTTCCTCAATCTTTGGACGGGTAGGCCTTGATTTCTTCATCCTGTGAAGTTTCTAGCAAAAAAACAAAAAAAAAAAAAAAACCAGAGGAGAGAGGAGAGAGAAATGGACGTTTTGGTGGACGCTTCGTTTGTGTGAGACTAATTTGCAACTGTCATGCGCTCACGTGATCTTCTTTCCTTTTCATTCTGCCATTTCTGATTCCCACTTCTTCTTTATTGTGAGGAGGAATTTCAGACGCCATTGAAGGAGAAGCTTGTTTTCTTCTCTTCTCTGAAGAACAGAGGCTAACACTAACAGTGAGTTTTCTGTTTTACCAACTGGAAAGAGAGAAGTGGCTTAGAATCTTGTCAGGTAATGATGAGGGCCCATCATCTCCATTCTGCATTTATGAGCCCCTTTGCCAAAATATCCCTAATATACAAAAACTACTCTGTTTTTGAGTTTTAATGGCGGTCCTGATATAGATATCAAGTGGGTTTACTGAAAAGTGAGGGATATAACTGATACAACTTTTCTTTTCGCATCTTATCTCCATTTGCAGGTGAATGAGGGGTTTTCTGTAAGCTCTTTTTTCTTCTTTTTCCTTTGAATTTCATTTAGATCTACAGCTGACTGAGCCCCACATCAGGATTTAGCTTGAAGATCGAGATAAAGAAGCTATGGATCTTGAGCATGGAAACTGTTGGGACACTGACAAGGTTTGTGTTCAATCGACTCACTGTGCTTCAACTTCACTTTTTTTCTTCATTTCTAGAAACACCCAGTTGTTGAATCGGCTCTAATTTTGGGTTTCTTTCAGAAGGGTTCTTGGAAAACGGTTCTTGTATTGGCCTATCAAAGTCTTGGCGTCGTCTATGGCGATTTGAGCATCTCTCCGCTCTACGTTTACAGAAGCACTTTTGCTGAAGACATCCAACATTCAGAGACCAATGAAGAAATCTATGGTGTTCTGTCATTTGTCTTCTGGACTCTCACTATTGTCCCCCTTTTCAAATACGTCTTCGTAGTTCTCAGAGCGGATGACAATGGCGAAGGTAAGAAGAAGAAGAAGAAGCAGATGTGCTTAGAATTGAAAAAGAACCAATACCCAGATGATGAATTGCTTTCAAATCGCCATTGCAGGTGGGACTTTTGCTCTGTACTCATTAATTTGCAGACATGCCAAAGTGAGCCTTCTTCCCAACAGACAAGTTGCAGATGAAGCACTTTCCACTTATTTACTTGAACATCCACCGGAGAAGAAGAAGCAATCTAAGGTTAAATTGCTGCTGGAGAAGCACAGTGCTCTGCACACTGCCTTGTTGATTCTTGTTCTTGTTGGGACTTGTATGGTGATTGGAGATGGGCTTCTCACTCCAGCCATTTCTGGTACTGTTCGTCATCTTCTTCTTTTTCCATTTTCTTTCAGTCCATTCAAGCATTTGATTGTTTTGGTTTTTGTTTTGTCCAGTTTTCTCAGCTGTTTCTGGACTTGAATTATCCATGACCAAGGCTCACCATCAGTGTAAGCACCTTTTTGAGAAAACGAGTTTAAGCTTAGTGTCCTCCTACTGAAGATTTAACATCCTATTAGCAATCATCAGTGGAACAAGAGACCAAACATGTCAAAGAAAAAAAAAAAAGACCAAACATCGAGGACTATGATTGTTTTGGTGTACCTCTGACTATTTGTAGATTTTGTAGGAATGTTGGACTTGGTCAAATAACATTAGGACAAACTGTTCATGGACTTGGTCAAATAACATCAGGACAAGCTGTTCATAAAAGCTATGAGTGTATTAATAATCTATGAGCTATACATGTTAACATGTTTAACATTACATATTATATAGCTCAGTACAAGTTATATAGCTAAAATCAGGAGGTTACCTTTGTGCAGATGCAGTGGTTCCAATCACATGCTTTATCTTGGTTTGTCTATTTGCACTTCAACACTATGGCACGCATCGTGTTGGCTTCTTCTTCGCTCCCGTTGTATTGATATGGCTACTCTGCATCAGTACCCTTGGCATATACAATATTATACAATGGAATCCACATGTTTATCAGGCTCTTTCTCCGTATTACATGTTCAAGTTTTTGGAGAAGACAAGGAAGAGCGGTTGGATGTCGTTGGGTGGAATATTGTTGTGCATAACAGGTAAGATTAATACATAGAATGCTTATGAGGTTTTGCAGGCTTATCACTGGTTTCCTGTGCTGGAAAGCCAAAACAAATTTTGATTGAATTGCAGGCTCAGAAGCTATGTTTGCTGATCTTGGTCACTTCTCATACACTGCAATACAGGTTATTCAGTTTTCAATGGTTTCTTAAGTTCTAACTTTCCTTTTCAGTTGGTTCAAAACATGGATAGATATCATTTTCATGAACAAATGGACTGACAATCCTGCTCTGTCCTGTCTGCCTCACCTCCCTTCAGATTGCTTTCACCTTTCTGGTGTATCCAGCGCTCATATTGGCATACATGGGCCAAGCTGCTTACTTATCTCAACATCACACCACCACCAACAACATTGGCTTCTACGATTCTGTTCCAGGTATCAATCACTGATAAAAGAATCTCCAAGCTATCATTCTAGAAGTAGTGTGATGTTCTTCAACTGTTTCGATTTCTTGCGAGCTATTTTTATGAGACTACTGATAATGGCTTTTGGAAACAGAGAGTGTGAGATGGCCAGTGCTTATAATTGCTATACTTGCATCAGTAGTTGGAAGCCAAGCAATCATTAGTGGAACATTCTCCATTATTAACCAGAGCCAGTCCCTTGGGTGCTTCCCTAAGGTGAAGGTTGTTCATACTTCTGACAAGATCCATGGCCAAATCTACATTCCGGAGATCAATTGGGCTCTTATGATTCTCTGTGTTGCTGTTACCATTGGCTTTAGAGACATAAAACACCTCGGAAATGCATCGGGTGAGTTAGTCGCTATCCATACTTCATTTCCAGACGTCTTAAGCTCGGTTTTGCTCACTTGAAATACAAATATTCCATTCCTAACAATCTTGTTTGCAAACTTTCCACACCGATACCGTAATTACCAAGTGTTGCAGACTCTTGCTCCATTCTTCCTGATTGCCTATGATAAGTATTAGCTTGCTTCAAAGTTTAAAAAGGACGGTCGAAACCATAAAGTACTGATAGCAGTTGGCCACTTATTTTTACTTTGCAGGTCTAGCTGTAATGACTGTGATGCTTGTGACAACATGTCTTACATCTTTGGTGATTGTTCTCTGTTGGAACAAAACTCCCCTTTTGGCTCTCTCCTTTTTGATCTTCTTCGGGTCTGTTGAATTGCTCTACTTCTCAGCTTCACTCACCAAGTTCAGGGAGGGCGCTTGGCTCCCCATTCTCTTAGCTCTCTTCCTCATGACCATTATGTTTGTTTGGCACTATGCAACCATCAAGAAGTATGAATATGATCTTCACAACAAGGTTTCATTAGAATGGTTGCTAGCATTGGGACCAAGCCTTGGGATTGCTCGTGTCCCTGGCATTGGATTAGTCTTCACTGATCTCACCTCTGGTATTCCTGCCAACTTCTCCCGGTTTGTCACTAACCTCCCAGCATTCCATCGCATCCTTGTCTTCGTGTGTATAAAGTCGGTACCAGTTCCTTTTGTACCTCCTGCTGAGCGGTATCTTGTTGGACGAGTAGGCCCAGCAGCACATCGGTCATACCGGTGCATTGTTCGATATGGCTACCGTGATAATCACCAGGACGTGGATTCGTTTGAATCTGAATTAGTCAAGAAACTGGCAGACTTCATCAGCTATGACTGGTACAGAAAACAAAGAGGAAACTCTAGCAGTGAGGACGATGCATCATGTTCAAATGAATCAACAAGTGAGCGTAGGCTGGCTGTGATTGGAACCGTAGCATTTGCAGGTGCATCTGCTTATGAAGAGACTATGCAGCCTGCGAGCGGATCAGTCGGGTTCCAAACTGTCGACAGCATCACTGATGTGATCGAAATGGAGCCACTGGGAGAAAAAAAGAGAGTCAGGTTTGCTATAGACGATGATTTTGAAGGTGACTCCCAAGCTGAAACAGAAGCCCTTCTGCAGGAAGAGCTAGAAGATCTCGTAGCAGCCCAGCAATCAGGGACGGCGTTCATTCTCGGGCATTCACATGTCCGAGCTAAACAGGGATCGTCTCTGTTGAAGAGACTGGCTATTAACTATGGCTATAACTTTCTGAGAAGGAACTGCAGAGGCGCAGACGTTGCTCTTAAGGTGCCACCAGTGTCTCTTCTTGAAGTTGGCATGGTTTATGTTGTATAGCCCTCAACTGTTCTTTCTGTTCTCTGTCCCTGCTCATTTTGTAAAGATACTGCTTCCTTGAATTAAAGCTAAGTATTTGACCATGTAATTCTCTTACAAAACCAGATGAATTATCTTCCCTTAAACCTACAAAGGATGCTAATTCCGATATGTGATGCTAAATCGAAACTAAGCCTCGTAGAAATTGTGCTAATTCCCATGCCCTTTCGAGTCTCGTTTGGATTGTGTCCCTACACAAACATGTGGATCCAAGACTCAAGCCCTACCACAATCACAGCCATAACTTAACTACTAAACAAAATCCTAAGATTCATAACCAAGTGGCCCTAGAAAAGAAAGAGTGGCATTCCCAACAGATAATTGAACGACAAAAAAGAACAACAAAATCAAGTGGCCCTAGAAAACCAAGAGATCAAGAGTAAGAAACACAACCACGTAGCTCCACAGCAACCACAGCGCCCAATCTCTGCCGACCTCTAATCTCACTATTTTTCTTTTTTCACTCACTTATAAAACAGAGCGACTCCTCGTCCACAGCGAAATCGTCAAGATCCCCGCCAATTCTTCGAATCTCAGCCTCAACCAAACGGCAGCGATGGTGGCGATTTCTCCATCGCACGTCGGATTCACATCGCAATTCGGGCAGGGATGGAAGACGGCGAGGGAGATGACTCCCGTCAGAAGCTCGAATCTGAGAGTATCAGCGAAATCGACGGAGAAGGGCGAGGAGAAAGAAGACGGCGGTGAAAGGAAGAACAAGCAGTCGCTGTTTAGCAGCGTGACGGAGGCGTTGGATTTCTCTCAGGTCCGGTCGAGTCGCGACGCTGAGCTTCTCGATGACGCCCGCCAGGCCACCAAAGCCGGCGGTAGAATGAGCCGGGAACAGGTAAACGTTAGTTACAGTTAATTTATTATTCGGTCTAATTAAAAATATAAAATAATTACAAAAAAAATAACTTTAACACATAATTTAATTATTACTTTCACAATTTAACGAAAAATATATTTATAAATATTTCAAATAGATTTTTGTTTATGACGTAATATTACAAAAAAAATAAATTAAAATTTGTAGTGATTTTTTTTTATGACGTAGTATGGAGCTCTAAGAAGGAAAATAGGAGGGACTTACAAGGACTTCTTCAAATCCTACATAGAAGGTAAGTAAAAATTTATGTTATTTATTTATTTATTTAAATTAATTATAATTATAAAAATAGGAAAATAAAATTGGGGTTTTGATGAAATTTAGTGGATGGGCAATACGTTGAAGAAGGGTGGGTGGACAAGACATGCAAGGTGTGCAAGAAGGACACAAGGGGCGAGGCAAGACAAGTCGACAAGCTTGGACGATATGCTCATGTTGCTTGTTTGGAAAAATCCAATTCTTCATCGCCCAATTTCTTCACCAAATTCTTCTTCAAATGACTCATAAATCCCGAGCATACGTACATCTGAATTTGTGTAGCGTGTATTTAAGCATCTCTCTATAGTTAATTTTCACGATGAAATGATTATATTCTTCATTCTCTCTGTACCATGTATTTATAGTTAAAAATAGATAGAAAGACGAAAAGTCAAACCTTTGACTCAATTGGGTCTAAAAATCGAGTAATTCACTTGTGGGTGGTGTGCGTTTTGCACAAACTATGGAAACCCAAGAAGGCCCGATTGTGTATTTTGTTCGAGGGAGGATTGTTCGAGCCCTACGTTGGTTAATTAAGATGAAAATCAAAGTCAAAGTGGACAATATCAAATCAATATAGAGGTCGTTGTTTCTCATTATTCCAAATATCAATTATTCAACGACTCCGTACCTAATAACCCTCGGTCCAGCATTAGAAACCCAACACAAAAAACATAAAGAGATTCCAAATAATATCGGTTAAAGATTGGCGAAAGATCAGCTTCCAACATTTAATATCTTCGATTTGTCAATGTCTACGAAACTTATTCAATAAACTATTCTAAAAATTATTCGGCTGTGAATTTTGATATTTTATCTTTTAATATTAAACTAATCAACTATTTATTATCTTAAAAAAATTGAAAAGGTACAGAGTGGGTTTGCTTATGATTTATTTGGTTTAGTTTCTTTTTACCATCATTTATAAAGAAGAATAGTAGTATTGCACTCAGTGGGGAACAATTTACATAAATGACAAAGTTACACGGCTCGGTGTCTCTGATGTGAGATCTCATAATCTACTTCGTTAAAGACTAGTGTCTGCATTGACACATCGTCCATTGTCTGCCTATGATATCATTTATAACAGATATTGTCCACTTTAGCCCATTACGTATTGTCGTCAGCTTCAAATTTTTTAAAACGATCATACATCCTTATAAGAAAGGTCGGTAGAAATGTGGGAGAGAGTGGGAGGCACGCGTTGCACAAGTTGCTATAAGCTGACAAATGAGTAGCCATCTTTATGTGCTTGAGAGATAACCCACTACTCACTTTCCAAGCTTTTCAATACATTAACATCCTTATGTGGGAGAGAGGGCCTGGTGGGATAACTTCTTTTTTTAGGACATTTTTCATTATTTTATAAACCCAAAACAAATTATTCAATTTTTTTTATTTTTTTTTGTTCTTGGTTGCACTGAATGTGGACTCGGTTGAACTGATTAAATGTATCAGCTTAGTTAGAGGTGAATATGACAACACTGAATAT